ACTAAGACGTGAGCCCAGAGGTGCTCTACCATTAACATACCCAGCCTTTTAATGTTTTTATTTTGAGAGGATCTTATTTAGTTGCTGAGGCTGGCCTTGAACTTGTGATCCTCCTGCTTCAGTCTCCCATGCCACTGGGATTGCAGGCATGCATGACTATGCCTGGCTCAGTTGTTTATAAGTCACACAGGTTATGACATTTTGCTATAGGGTCTAAATGGACTAAGGCAGTCTGACTGCCACCCCTAACACTCCACTGCAGCTTTCGTCTCGAATTCACCAGTGATCTCCTTATGAGTAAACCCATTGTGTATTCTTCAGTCCTTCCTTTCATGTTTTTCTGCAGCATTTGACCCTGTGAGTTGCTTCATTATTGCCAATACCTCCTATTCCTCTGCTGTTCCTCCTGTGATTCAAGTTATTCCTCTTTAGGCTCATTTGAGAATTTTCCTTCTGTTCATCATTAAAACATTGAGTGTTCTTCAGGGTTCAGTCTGACTACCTTCTCTCAGCACTCACCGACTCTCTTGGAGCTGTCTCTTCTGTTCCCATGACCTCTGCTGCCACCTTTTGCTGACAACTGCCAAATTCAAATCACCAAAGCAGCTCTCCTTTCTGAATGAAGTATGAGCACACAAAACACGTGAGTGTCCATACACACGACCGCTATGCCTAGGCCATGCCACTTCTATAGTAAGTGCTATTGCATTCTTGTTTTCCTTGTCCTGTCCCCAGCCACTAGGCTATGTGTTCTTTGAAATCAGGAATTCTGATGTGTTCACAGTGGCATCCTCAGTAACTAGAACAGTGCAGGGTGATACACCCAGTGAGTTAGGTAATTACCAGGAGACAAAGCAAAAATACAGATATATGGAACTAATAGATACCAGCAACATTCACTTATAACTATGATTATGGGTTTGTTTTTGTTTTGGGAATTTTTTGTGGTACTGGGATCAAGCCCAGGGCATAGCACAATCTAGGCAAGTACGCTGCTACTGAATTATATCCCCAGCACTGAAAGTTGTTTTGTTTGGTTTTTCTTTTTCTTTTCTTTTTTTTTGGTCCTGGGGATTTAACCCAGCATGCTTCACGTAAGCTACATCCCCAGTCCCTTTTTTATTTTGAGCCAAGATCTCCACTAAGTTGTTGAGGCTAGTCTCCAACTTGCAATCCTCCTTCATCAACCTCCCCAGTCACTGGGATTACAGGTGTGTGCCACCATACCCAGCTCAGCCTTAGCAATTTAACAGAGACCCTCAGCAATTTAGCAATAATAGCCTGTTTCAAAATAAAAAATGAAAAGGACTAGGAATTTGGGAATATAAAACTTCTAAAAGAACTTATCGGGCTGGGTTTGTGGCTCAGTGTAGAGGCTTGCCTGGCACATGTGAGGCACCACATACAAATAAATAAATAAAATAAAGTTGCCCATCTACAACTAAAAAAACAAAGACCTCATAGGCTCAGCATAATGGCCCATGCCTGTAAGCCTAGAGACATGGGAGAGGCTGGGGCAGGAAGATCACAAATTCAAGGCTAGCCTCAGCAATTTAGGGAGACCCTCTTTCAAAGTAAGAAGGGCTGGGTTGGCTATGGTGGTGCACACCTGTAATTCCAGCAGCTCGGGAGGCTGAGGCAGGATGATCAAAGGTTCAAAGCCAACCTCAGCAATTTAGCAGAGGCTGTGAGCAACGTACTGAGATCCTGTCTCAAAGAATTGAGGATGTAGCTCAGTGGTAGAGTGTCCCTGGGCTCAAACCCCAGTGCCTCCCTCCTCAAAAAGAAAGCACTCAGAGATTTTGGGGTATAGTCACTATTAATTTTATTTTCTTGCAGTGCTGGGAATTGAACTCAGCCTCACACATACTAGGTAATGTTCTACTGTGATGGCAAAGCCAGACCTGGTTGTAAAATGAAATTATAAGAATCCAATGTCTGAGCCAGGCGCGGTGGAGCACGCCTATAATTCCAGCAGCTCAGGAGGCTCTTGGGTTCAAAGACAGACTCAGCAACAGTGAGGTGCTAAGCAACTCAATGAGACCCTATCACTAAATAAAATACGAAATAGGGCTGGAAATGTGTCTCAGTGGTTGAGAGTCCCAGAGTTCAATCCCCAGTACCAAAAAGAAAGAAAGAAGACAAAAAACAAAAACAAAACCCTAATGCTAGAAAAAAGGGTCAATTCCCCTCCACTTTCTCTGCCTTTTTTCAGGAAGCCTAATTATAACCACAAGTCTCTACCTTTTGGATTGTAAATAACAGCCCTAGGAGTCTGACTACTCCCTTTTGAAATGTAAACACCCCTGTGCCAGGCTTTCTTTTCTTTTCTTTCTTTCTCTCTCTCTCTCTTTTTTTTGTGTGTGTGTGTGTGTGTTGCTGGGGATTGAACCCAGGGCCTTGTGTGTTCAAGGGAAGCACTCTACCAACTGAACCATATCCCCAGCCCTTCTCTCTCTCATATTTTAGTTATAGTTTATTTTTATGTGGTGCTGAGGATGGAATCCATCCTTCCTTCCTTCCTGTACTGGGGATCTCAACCACTGAGCCACATCCCCAGTCCTATTTTCCTATTTTGTATTTTATTTAGAGACAGGGTCTCACTGAATTGCTTAGCGCCTCGCCTTTGCTGAAGCTGGCTTTGAACTTGTGATTCTCCTGTCTCAGTCTCCCAAGCCTCTGGGATCACAGGCATGGGCCACCGCACCCAGCCTGTGCCTGGCTTTCAAGGCTAGAATATTAAGTCTATGAAAAAAGCCATTTCTTCTTATCTATTACTGTAAATTCTATGTTAGGGACCCTGCACAAGGCCTTCAGCCAAGTAGAATTAGGAATTTTTTTAAAAGAGGAAAAAAGCCTCAATGATAAAATGGCTCTAAGAGAACACCAAATAACCTATAAATGTTGCGAGAAACTGTGGATCAGGGCTCAGAATTTGGAGTTTGCTTACTCTGGGCCCACAGGCATAAAATAAAGTTGGGAGTTCTCCTCCTCCCCGAGTGCTGCTTGCTGCTTTCCCGCAATGCTAACATTGGGCTTGATCCCCAACCCTTTAATTTTTTTTTTTTTTTAATTCCAAGACAGGATCTTTTTGTGTCTTGCTAAATTGTTCAGGATAGCCATGAATTTGGGATCCTCTTGCCTCAGTCTTCTTTTTTTTTTTTTTAATAAATATTCTTTTCTTAAAGAGAGAGAGAGAGAGAATTTTAATATTTATTTTCTAGTTTTCGGCGGACACATCTTTGTTTGTATGTGGTGCTGAGGATGGAACCTGGGCCGCACGCATGCCAGGCGAATGCATTACCACTTGAACCACATCCCCAGCCCCTGACTCAGTCTTCTGAGTGACTAGTATTACAGGCATGAGCCATCCTGTCTGGCAACACTACCAGTTTTTAAACTTTTTTTTTTTAAAGAGGCTACTACTATGGGCTGGGGATGTGGCTCAAGCGGTAGTGCGCTTGCCTGGCATGCGTGCGGCCCGGGTTCGATCCTCAGCACCACATACCAACAAAGATGTTGTGTCTGCCGATAACTAAAAAAATAAATAAATATTTAAAAAAATAAATAAATAAAAAGGCTACTACCTCTTCCCATGTCACTCAAATTGTGTTAAAGGATAAAGGATCTAATTTCAGAGCCATGCATGTCAGCTTCAGATGGAGTATCATGCTGAATCTGAGAATTAAATTTAAATTGGAGGAACAATAAAAATGTAAGCTCAAGCAGCGTTCCAATTTGCCATGGGGGTCAACTGAAGTGTTTGTCAGTTAATATTCAGCACCACCTGGTGTGCAGTGTGTACTGTGTGAATTACTGTATCATAATAAACAGACATTGGTTCTTCCTAAATGGTAGCAAGAAAAATGCTTGCTGTGCAGACTTTGGCAGCCCCAAGAGATGACTCCATGCCTAAATTTGTCTCTTCCTATTTCATCTCCTTTGTTCAAGTCTTCCTTTCTGCCTCCTGGGGGCTATTTCCTTAATCCCTTTACCCCATCTGCAAAATTCCATCCTGTGCCACATTGGAGGTTCTCTCCAAGGCATCTGGGTTCAGCAAAAGTAATATTTTCTTTTTCTCTGCCTGGGCAGTAAAACGGTGCCAACTGAGGGAGGCTCTGAGCCTCATTAGATAAATTAGATAAGGAGTCCTGCAAATTGCTGTTTATAAACACAGCATAGACTACCCCGAGTGCCTGTAACCCGGACCAGGATGACTCCAAAACCTCCTTAGTGTTTTTTTTTTTCTTCTCCTTTTTTCCTTAATGGCCTTCATGAAAAGTAATTATTTATAATTTATAAACAATAAGAAATTACAGCTTATAAACTGTAAGTACAAAATTAACACCCCCCCCCCCCCCCCGCCAAGTTAGGAGAAAGTCTACCTAAAATGACAGGTAAAACAACAACAACATAGAAATAAATATTCTAACTGCATGGTCCCAAGCACTATTAAAAATAAGAAATAACAGTGTAATCTATCTCTGCAATAATGGGCATATTCTAGTGGGATCATTTTCAGCCCATTTCCCCATCCTGCTGGGCAAGAATTGGCTCAGATAAGGAAAAAGAGCTAACCAAACTGGAAAAGAAAAACAACCCACCCATTATTTTTGATGCCTGGTAAACAGCTTGCAGCAGAGGATAAGGCTTTTCTGGCTCTGAAATATGCTTTTTTCTCCTTTCATGTGTCTGTCCTCCTCCCTCGAAGCTGCGGGGTAGAAGGTCTAAAAATAGCCAGTGAATCACCGCGGATAATATTGTGCAGCAGTTACATAAACAGCCAGCCGGGGCGGCGGGGCCCTGGGTCGGAACGAAAAATATCTGGGTCAGGGTTGTCACACTGAATAGGATCCCCCGGAGCCGGTCTTCGGAGGCGCGGCGGGGGGAGGAGGCCTGGGCCTGCTGGCCGGGAGCACCTGGGGAGCCGCGGGCGGCGGGCGGGAGGGAGAACGGGCCCGGGCCGGGCGCGGGCGGCGGCGCGAGCAGGGCGGCCGAGCCCAGCGCTCCCTCCCCATGGCCGGGAGCGGGCCGCGTAGGCGGCGACGGCGCTGAGAGGCCAGGGCGGGGCGGCCGGGGGCCTGCGGCCGAGTGGAAGATGAGCGCCCTCCTAGAGCAGAAGGAGCAGCAGGAGAGGCTGCGGGAGGCCGCGGCCTTGGGGGACATTCGGGAGGTGCAGAAACTGGTGGAGAGCGGGGTTGATGTGAATTCCCAAAATGAGGTCAACGGCTGGTAAGTGAGTAGCGGGGGCGGCCTAAGGTCAGGGCAGCCGGCCTCGGGCGTGGGACAGTCGTCGGCGACCTGGGCCCAGTCCTGTCCCCGACACCGGGCTAAGGTGAGGCCTGGTGCCTCGGGCTTCCCAGGTTGTGCCCTCTGGAGGCCAACTTCGTCCCCCCTACTTCGTGCAGTCCGGAGTGCGACGTGCTCAAATGCCGGCCTACGTGGTCCACTCTGAGAGCCCCGGCGCTCGCGGGCTGATTTGCCCGGAATGTTGCTGGAGGCAGTGATTCTCAGCGATTCTGTGCTGGAACTCACCCCAATTGAATTATTTTGCCTGAGGTGCCTCTGAAGAACATCTGTGCAGAGCTAAAAGCATAAACAACCGAACAAATACGAATCTTACTAACATGATTTCTTTAGTCCAGGATAAAAACAAACAAAAACTCACCGCTTGCATCACTATTCTGCCTCTTTTGTCTCACTCTTACAGTGATCTGCAGCTGCCTACAGCTGCCTACAGCTGCCCGCCCGGGGAAGAAGACTCATTTGTGTATCCTAGAGAGTGTTTTGCTTTATTTTCTTATTACAATTTCCCATAGAGAACTGCACGTGAGGCTTTAGATTTATGCCTGTAGAATGGGTCCTTTCCAACTAAAGGAGTCTCATTTAAAGATGTTGCTGATAGCCAAATCTTTAGGTTCAAGGTACTGAATGTGGTACTTCTGCCCTCTTTGTTTTTGATTCATGTAATGTTTAACCAGTCTATTTAGCTGGTTTAAAGTGAGTTTGCAGATGTTTGTTTTTATTTGATAGAGTGGAATCAATGGAAACAGTTTCAACCCCAGAGAGTAACTTGCTCCAAGTCACACAACTGTTAATGATAGTACCACAACTGAGGTTTCCTCACTTCCTTTTTGTTTTGTTTTGGTTTGGGGGTTTAACCTAGGGGGACTTTACCACTGAGTTACATCTCTAGCCTTCTTTTTTAAATACTGAGACACATCTTCATGAATTGCCCACGCTGGCCTGGAACTTGCCTATCCTCCTGCATTAGCCTCCTGAGTCGCTGAGATTATAAGACTGCACCACGCAGTTTCATCACTTCTTACAAAAATCTGTGTACCTTCTTTTCTGAAAGAAAACAGCTTGGATAGCTGACAGGATAGCCAATAAACCATGGATACTGCCTTCTTGTTTTGTTTAAAATTGTTTGCAAAGAAATTTGCTGTGGTCTGTGTAGCTTTTCTGAGCTTTGCTCTGTGATTCAAAGCTGCGCCTTTATGGCACTGGGAGGAAGTGTTATATGGAAGAATGAGCCTGGTCTTCACTGAAGGTTCTTTTTCATTCCTACCTAAGTATGTGACCTTGTCTAAGTCACTTCATTTTCCAATTATTTCAGAAGAATGTTATGAGAGAAGCATAATATAAATAACACTTATTGAACTTGCTCTGTGGCACAGATGTGGTTCTGAGCACTTTACATACATCATCTTATTCACAACTACCCGGGGACATAGTTATTATTTTCTCCATTTTACAGATGAAGAAACTGAGGCCCAGAAAGACTAAATAATTTTCCCAATTTACAAAATGCCCCTAAATTTAGAATTTAGTAATGCTGGGTTATTGTTCAAAATATCCCCTGAGGAGGGAGGTGCAGAAAATGAGTATCTAGTAGAGCTGGAAAATGAACCTGGCTTCTAACTCCAGACCTTCCCCTCCTCAGCACGATGCCTACATGATTGGTGTTCAGGAAATGTAAGGTGAACCTGAAGTAACTTGAAGAGGCTTCTCCTAGACTGAATTCAAACTCAGCATGGCTAAGACTGAATTCCTAGTCCCCCCATGGCCTGTGCTGTTCTCTGCTTCCTCATGTCAGCCTCTCAGGTGTCTGGGTCAGAATGCTTGATGCCCTCCTTGCCTCCTGTCTTTCCCACATGTCCCACACATAGTCAGCCAGTTCTGCCAGCTCCACCTTCAGAGGTAGTCAGAATTTGACCACTTCTCACTAGCTCTACCACTGTAACTCTGTTCAAAGCCACCATCATTTATCTCACTGAATTATAGCAGTAGCCTCCTAACTAGGCTCCTTGCTTATTTCTGCAGTCTTCTCAACCCAGGGTTCAAAGGGATCTTTATTTAAAACTAGTTAGAGCATTCATTTCACTCTTCTCAAAACCTTCCAATTGTTCCCTTCTTACTCTTAGTAGAAGCCAATAGGTCCTAAAATTTTTTATTCCCTGTCCCCCTTTTACCTTGTCTTTTGAGACGTGTCTCCTTGCTCACATTTTTTTTCTGTTCTCCTTGCCTCCTTGCTTTTCTAGAATATCAGCCACAGTCCTGAATCAAAAGACCTTTGCGTTTTGGCTGGGCACGGGGTGGCACATGCCTGTAATCCCAGTGCTTCGGGAGACTAAAGTAGGAGGATCACAAGTTTGAGGCTAGCCTCAGCAATATAGTGAAGCCGTAAGGAACTTAGCGAGACCCTATCTCAAAATAAAAAGTGCTGGGGATATGAATCAGTGTGGTTAAGTGCTCCATGTTCAATCCCAGGTACCAAAAAGAAAAAAAACCAAAACTACATTTTGTCTTCCTTCTTCCTAAAATCTTCTCCTGCAGATAGCACCTTTGCTAAGTTGATGAAAGTTGTCCTTGAATTTTGCTTTTTTGTTCTTCAAAGCTTAGGGCTGGGATTGTGGCTCTGAGGAATAGCACTCATCTACCATGCATGAGGCACTGGGTTCGATCCTCAGCACCACATAAAAATTAAATAAAGATATTGTGTCCACCTATAATTAAAAAATGAATTAAAAAAAATCTTAGCTTAGATGTCAGCTTGGATGTTGCCTTCATGGTGAGGCCTCTTTTTTGGCCCTCAACTTAAAATTGCACAAAGTCCCTTTCTAACCTGTCATTCCCTAATCCCTTACCCTGCTTTATTGTCCCTATAACACTTGATCACCACCTAGTGTTCTTCATGCTTTGCTTATTTATTTGCTGACTGCCTCAGTTTCCTGTAAAATTGGGGGAATGTTAATAATAGTATTTACCTTGTGGAATTTTTTTTTTTTTTTTTTTTTGGACCAGGGATTGTACCTAGGGGTGTTTAGCCTCTGAACTACATCCCCAGCTCTTTTTATTATTATTTTTTTTAGAGATGGGATTTCACTAAGTTGCTTAGGACCTCATTAAGTTGCTGAGGCTGACTTCCAACATGTGATCCTCCTGCCTCAGGAGTTGCTGGGATTACAGGCGTGAGCCACTGCATCTGGCACCTCATGGGATTTTAAATATTTTAAAATTTATTATTAATTTTGTACTGAGGGTTGAATTCAGAGGTACTTTACCTGTGAGCCATATCCCCGTTACTTTTTTATATTTTATTAGAGACAGGGCTTTGCTAAGTTGATGAAAGCTGTCCTTGAACTTGCAATCTTCCTGCCTCTGCCTCTGAGTCACTGGGAGGACTTTAAGTGCCACTGGCCCAACTTTTCTTTTTCTTTCTCTCTCTCTCTTTTTTTTTTTTTGAGACAGGGTCTTGTTATGTTATCTAGGCTGGCCTCAAACTCCTCAAGTGATCCTCCCACCTCAGCTTCCCAAGTACCTGGAACTGTAGGCATGTTGCCATGCCATGTACCTAGGTCCTCATGGAATACTTTGAAGATTAAATGAATTAACATATATAGAGCATTTAATTTTAATTTTATTTTGGGGTGGGGTACTGGGAATTGAACTCAGGTGCACTCAACCACTGAGCTACATCCCCAGCCCTATTTTGATTTTATTTAGAACAGGGTCTCACTGAGTTGCTTAGCACCTCATTTTTGCTGAGGCTGGCTTTAAACTCATGATCCTCCTGCCTAAGCCTCCTGAGCCACTGGGATTATAGGTGTGTGCCACAATGCCCGTGGAGCTTTTAGAACAATGTCCAGCAAGTAAAGCATTATATCTGTGTTAACTATTGTTATTATTTTATTAGTAAGCAAGATGGTGGATAATAACATAAAATTATCCTTAAAAGACTTACTACTAGCCATGCCTGGCAATCCCAGCAACTCAGGAGGCTGAGGCAGGAGGATTACAAGTTTGGGGCCAGCCTTGGCAACTTAGCCAGACCCTGTCTCAAAAAATAAAAAGGGTTAGGGATAATATAGCTCAGTGATAAAGCACCCCTGAGTTTGATCACCAGTACCACAAAAAAACAAACAAAAGAACCAGACTTACTCTTAGCATGGAAAAGCAGAATTATGACTGCTTTGAGTTCTTGGTTGCTCAGTAACCATAATTTAAGCAGTGATGAATAATGCCCAGTTGTTGAATGATGCCCAGTGCCACTAGTCTGAAATACTTCTCATCACTAATAGGATTTCTGACTACAAATGTAAAGTTTAAAGAGTTGAAGTTCAAAGATAGAGTTTCCATATCAAATGTAATTCAAGTGCATGCATAATCTTAGACTTTGAGGAAAAAATATACAGGTTCATGAGGAGGTTGAAAATATTGCCTGGCTGCAGTGGTTGTGAGTTATGACTGCCCAAAGCCACACAGCTCTGGACTCATAAATGATGATCACTAAAGATGATGGTCACTAAGGGTGCAGGGCCCTGGGAGACATACTGTGTTGACTTAACCCCACTTTATATGGTGATGCTCTAGCTAGTTGGTATTTTTGAGTTTCTCAGACCCACTCTCAGTAAATTACCTCCTTCACACTCCAGCTTGCCATGAACGAGTGATTTACTATTAGCAAGCAAGCACTTTATTTCCAGAAGGGAGCACATTTTTTCTAATCATGCTCTATTCATTTTTGAATGCTCACTTATTATAATTCACTTTTCAAGCCCTGTGCCACAGACATCCACACACAAACACAAACTCAGGCTGCATTTTGCCTAGGATCTGCAGTTAGCCTACTCTAAGCAGTGTCCACCATATCCTTGGTTTACTTAATAAGAATTAAGCCCAGTATATGCCCACCAGATACTTTGTTATCTTCATGGAGTTTACTTATGATTTAGAAGTCCAGATCAAGACTGTTCCCCTGGAAATGTAATTCAGTGGTAGAAGGCTTGCCTAGCTCTGGGTTTAGTCCCCAGTACTGCAAAAAGAAAAAGAAAAAAAAAAGGTCTCTTATTTAACCCAAATTTACAGTCATTTTGTCATCGAGAACACCATAAAGGCACCTGGATAATCTAGTTTTTTCTTTTTTTATGGGGGCGGGTACTGGGACTTGAACTCAGGGGTGCTTTACCACTAAACTACATTCCCAACCCTTTTTAATTTTTATTTTAAGACAGGGTCTCACTGAGTTGCTTAGAATCTTGCTAAGTTGATGTAACTGACCTCGAATGTGTGACTGGATAATCTAATTCTAATGAATAATAGTATACAATGTCACTCTGAAACATTAATTGATTTGCTCCCACCTAGCCAAACTAGCTTTCTGTAAGTTGTTAAGGTACCCATGGCAAATCAGCTTTTTCCTGGAACCAAATAAACTTTCCAGATAATTATGCTTCCCAGGATAGCGAAATAATCCTCACTATTGAACATATGTTCTGTTCTTCATCTTAACTGTTTTTGGCTATAAGCTCTGAAGATATTTATCTTAATTCATTATGCAGTTGGTGAATGAAGCCATTTCAAAATAGAAGGGAAAAAATATTTTCTTTCTGCAAAGTGCATTCAGCTTTGGCACTCGGGATGAATTTAGTAACTCCAAATTCTTTAAACTTCTGTTAACATGGAGTTTTTGCCAATGTGTTAATTAAATTACTGTACAGTATTAAAATAATAGCCCTTTATTAGAGTATGCAGAATCACCTTCTATGTGCCCAATATTAAATAATTAAATGAATCTGCTATGTTAGAAGAATCTGTTCTTGAAAAATTTTGGTCATTGATGTACATGTTTTAAATGCCTTGTGAGTTAAAGTTTGTGTGTAGTGCTTTTCATTTAAGCAGATGAGGGTATGTTTATAGCTTTCTGTAAAGATCGGAGAAGCGAACTTTATTTTTTTGGTAACAGGAATTGAACCCAGAGGTGTTTAACCACTGAACCATATTCCCAGCCCATTTTATTTTTTATTTTGAGACAGCATCTTGTTAAGTCACTTAGGGTTTTGCTAAATTGCTGAGGCTGGCTTTGAACTTGGTGATCCTCCTGCCTCAACCTCCTGACCCACTAGGATTATAGGCATGTGCCATGGCCACTTTTTAAAAATTTAAATTTGGAAATCCTTTTAGTGAAGGTATGAAGAAAAAATAAGTGAAGAGAAGGGAGTAAGTAACTGAGATTGAGACAGGCCAGTCTACTGTAGTAATAATTGAAGTGACAGAGCAAGCTGCAGGTAGGAGTTGGTTATGAGCCTGATAATAGTTAATCTTCAGGTAACATTTGATGCATATGAAGTGAATCTCCCTGAAAAGGAATGAGGCAATATAGAAAAATGTTTTAAAGAGACTAAGAGGATCACATGATTATAACAATAATGATAGAAAATCACCCTGAAGTATCATTGGAGTTAACCAGCTGGCCAGCCAACCAACCTGCCTTCTGGAAACCATTGAAATGAAAACTCTATAATAAATACATTTTTCCCAGGGCAAGGAATGAGTTGTTTTGTTTTGTTTTTTTTTTTCTTTTAAGTGCTGGGGAATCAAACCCAGAGTTTGATCATAGATGCTAGGTAAACATTCTACCATTGAGCTCTACCCCCAAGCCCAACCTTATAATTTAAAAATAAATTTTAGGGGCTAGGGATTGATCATCTGCTTTGTGAAAGGAAAAAGTGGAGATTATCAGCCTGATTTTTTATTTTGTTTTTGTTGTGTTTGTTTTTTTTTTCAAAGTGCTGTGGATTGAACCCAGGGCCTTGTGCATGTTAAGCAAGTACTCTCCTCTGGCCTACATCTCTAGCCCTCTTTTTTTTTTTTTTTTTCTTGTGGTACTGGGGATTGAAGCCAGGGGTGCTCTACCACTGAGTTATACTCCCAGTCCCCCTCTTTTTTTTTGGATACTGAATCTTGCTAAGTTGCCCAGGCTGGCCTTGAAATTGATTTTCCTGCCTCAGCTTTGCAAGTAGCAGTCTAGTATCTGGGCTTTAGCTGAACTTTTTTTTTTTTTTTTTGTGTGTGTGTGTGTGTGTGTGTATGTGTATATGTCTGTGTGTTGCTGGGGCTTGAACCCAGGACTTTGTGCATATGAGGCAAACACTCTACCAACTGAGCTATATCCCCAGTCCCCCTAGCTGAACTCTTAACAGGCTTATGTATATTTATTTACTAATTATTTAAAGTTGAAATTCCAAATCTCTTTCCTTTTTTTAAATTATTCTTTTTTTCCCCTCCTTTGGGACAGGACTTGTTTACACTGGGCATGTAAACGCAACCATGGTCAGGTGGTCTCATACCTGTTACAGTCAGGTGCTGACAAAGAGATTCTTACCACAAAAGGGGAGATGCCAGTGCAGTTAACATCAAGGAGAGAAATCAGGAAGATCATGGGAGGTGAGTCTGTGTTTGGGGGGAACATTTTGACTTTGTACAACTAATTTAAAACTTGTGATTATTATTTGTCACATTCTTTTTTTTTTTTTTAGTTGTAGATGGCCATATAATATCTTTATTTATTTTTATGTAGTACTGAGGATCAAACCCAGTGCCTCACACTTTCTAGGCAAGCAAGTGCTCTACCACTGAGTTACAACCCCAGCTTCTATTTGTCACATTCTTAATGCCAAATAACTCAATAACTCGTTTATTTCTCAAAGCTAATTACTGAAGTAATTCTATGTTTCTGGGGAGGTCAGCATTACAAGATTCTTTTTTTTTTTTTTTTGTAAAATTTAGTCATTGTTAAAAATAGTAATCATAAAATAGTAATCATAAGTAATCATAAACCTAATAGTCCTTTCTGAACTAAACAGGTAGTTACAATCATTGAACAAAATATTTGTCACTACCAAAGGATACTAATGCTTCTCAAAGATGTTTTTTTCTCAGATTTTTTTTTAAATTTTTATTTTTTTGTAGTAGTAGGGCTCAAATGCAGGGGGACTTTATCACTGAGCCATATCCCCAGTGCTTTGCTTTTTTTAAAAAATATAACATTTAATTAATTAGTTAATTATGTGGTGTTGAGGATCGATTCCAGGGCCTCACCCACGCTAGGAAAGTGTTCTATTACTAAGCCCCAGCCCCGGCCCCGCAGTGCTTTTAAAGTTTTATTTTGAGGCAGAGTCTCATTAAGTTGCTGAGACTGGCCTTAAACTTAATGATCCTCCTGCCTCAGCTTCCCTAGTTGTTGGGATTAGAGATGTGCGCCACTGCATGTGGCTTCTTGATAATTTTTAAAGGACTGCGTAAATGTTCTGTGTTTTCTTCTTTTTAAGTGGAAGAAGATGATAATGATGACGACACCCTTCCCCAGCTGAAGAAGGAGTCAGAACTGCCCTTTGTTCCCAACTATTTGGCCAACCCAGCCTTCCCTTTTATCTATACTCCCAGAGCAGAGGATTCAGCCCAGTTGCAGAATGGGGGCTCCTCCACACCCCCAGCATCACCCCCTACAGATGGCTCACCTCCAATGCTGCCCCCTGGGGAACCCACCCTGCTAGGAGCCTTTCCCCGGGACCACCCCTCTTTGGCACTGGTTCAGAACGGTGATGTGACTGCCCCCTCTGCCATACTCAGAACACCAGAAAGCACAAAACCAGGTCCTGTTTGTCAGCCACCAGTGAGTCAGACACGCTCCCTTTTCTCTTCTGTCCCATCCAAGCCACCAGTGACTCTGGAGCCTCAAAATGGGACTTATGCAGGACCGGCGCCAGCATTCCAGCCATTTTTTTTCACTGGAACATTTCCGTTTAATATGCAAGGTAAGCACTTACAAAAAATAGCCTCTGTAACCGGGGAGTTGGGGAGAAGTGAGATTTATTTAATATATTTGGGATATAATTACAAACTTAGAGAAAAGTTTCAAGACCTGTATGAGGAATTCCCTTTACTGAGATTCACAAATTATTTACCTTCTGCCCTTTTACCCTGAAATTCTTAAGTATTGTTCTCATTGTATCTTTTCTAAGAATAAGGATATTCTTTTATATAACTTCAGTACAATTATCAAATTTGAGAAATGTAACCTTGATATAACATTGCTCTGTAATTGGTAGTCCATATTTAAGTTTTGTCAGTTCTCTCAATAATGCCTTAGTAGATACCTTCTCTCCCCTATTCTTGCTCCCTCCCCTCTGCCCAGGACTACCCATTACATTTAGTTATACAGCCCTTGTAGGTTTTTTTTTTTTTTGTTTCTTTTACTTTTGCTGTATTGTGGATGGAACCCAGGGGTGCACTGAACTACATCCTCGGCCCTTTTTATTTTGAGACAGAGTCTCACTAAGTTGCCCAGCTGGCCTCAACTTTGGGATCCTCCTGCCTCAGCCTCCTGAGTCACTAGGATTTCAGGCGTGTGCCTGCACCTGGCTTTTTGAAATTGATAACTTTGAAGGGTCCAGGTCAATCATTTTACAGAATATGATTTTCTATCATTATTTATTTGTTGGTATTCTACTATAAAGAAGGGCTTTCTCTTCTCCCTCATTTATATCAGTATGGACTCGTGGATTCTTATTGTGTTCAATCAGTTATAATCTATTACTGTCATTATTTTGATATTCAGATTTTTCCTGATTTGACCAATGGGACCTTCAAGCTACTTATTGTGCCCGTTAGATATGTCCCCATCATTCTTGGAAAACTTCCTTTCTTTCTAGTGTAGCAAGATGTTCCAGGTTTATGGTGTAACTTCCCTGCCCTAACCCCAGAATCAGCCCTTCTCCAAGGAGCCCTCGTTCTTTTTGGTAGAGAATAGAATTTAGAAGCTAGGAAAGAGAGAAAAAAGCAAGCAAACACATTTATTTATATATGCATGTAGATCTACATTTCTGTATCTGTTTACATCTTCTTAAGAACATTAGAAATTCCAGTTCATCTTTATAACTCCGATTCTAGCCACACTTACTAGGGTATAGTCTAGTCTTACCTTTCCTTTTTCTCTATAAGTAACTCTCCTACTTCCCAATTTTGAGGACCTGGTGCTGATAACAGTCGCCCCAGGGTGCTGCCAGGGATCCATATATAAGGAGAAAAGCAGAACTGCCAAATGTACATAAGTGCTTCGCTGGAGCCATTTTGGCAGCCAGACACAGAATGTGGAGTCAGATTGCTTTGCTCGCTGACCCATGAATAACAGTCTTTACTCCTAAAGCCAGGAACGCACCCTTATCAAGTTGTGCCATTTTTTTTAGTCAAATGTATACTTTAACTTTGTTTAATGAGTATTTTTTTGCTCTCCAGTTTTTATTGCAAGGAATTTCATATTTCATGAATACCTTTAGATCCATAATTGTTAGATCTGTTTTTTTTTTTTTTTTAATGGTACTAGAGATTGAACCCAGGGGCACTCTTTTTTGTGGGTGGGGGTACCAGGGATTGAACTCAGGGGCACTCAACCACTGAGCCACATCCCCAGCCCTATTTTGTATTTTATTTAGACAGGGTCTCACTGAGTTACTTAGCACCTCACTTTTGCTGAGGCTGGCTTTGAAATGGCGATCCTCTTGCCTCAGCCTCCTGTGCTGCTGGGATTACAGATATGTGTCACTGTGCCCAGCCCAGGGGTACTCTTAATACTGAGTCACATCCCCAACCTTTTTTATTTTTATTGAGACAGGGTTTTGGTTGTTTTTTTTTTTTTTTTTTTAAGAGACAGAGAGAATTTTTAATATTTATTTATTTTTTAGTTTTCGGCAGACACAACATCTTTGTTTGTATGTGGTGCTGAGGATCGAACCCAGGCCGCACGCATGCCAGGCAAGCGCGCTACCGCTTGAGCCACATCCCCAGCCCGGTTGTTGTGATTTTATTTATTTATTTATTTTTTGTAGTGTGGAATTGAGCCCAGGAGCACTCTTCCACTAAGCTTGTAAGCCCCACCCTTTTTTATTTTATTTTGAGACAGGGTCTCACTAAGTTGCTGAGGCTGGTTTTAACTCACCATTCTCCTGCCTTAGCCTCCCTAGTCACCCTAGTCACCGGGATTATAGGCGTGTGTCATTGCACCTGGCATTGTAAATTTTTTTTTTTTTTAAGAGAGAGAATTTTAATATTTATTTTTTAGTTTTCGGCGGACACAACATCTTTCTTTGTATGTGGTGCTGAGGATCGAACCCGGGCTGCACGCATGCCAGGCGATCGCACTACCGCTTGAGCCACATCCCCAGCCCCTGTAAATTTTTTGAAAGTATCTCATGTATCATGTCTTGCTTTTGCCTTCTCTCCAACCTTTTTTTTTCTTTCCCTGCTCATATGTATTTTTTTTCTTTCTTTCTTTTAGTTGTACACAATACCTTTGTTTTTATTTGTTTATTTTCATATGGTGCTGAAGATTGAACCCAGAGCCTCACACCAGCTAGGCGAGTGCTCTACCGCTGAGCCACAACCCCAGCCCCTCAGGCGTATTTTTTTAAAAAATATTTTTAGTTGTAGATGAACACAATACCTTTACTTATTTATTTATTTTTATGGGGTGCTGAGGATCGAACCCAGTGCCTTACACATGCGAGGCAAATGCTCCACCACTGAGCTACATCCCCAGCCCTTCTCTTGTGTATTTTGGTACTCAAATCCATCTGAAGTCTTTATTTCCTTAGCTCTAATGGTGGAAGAAAGTGACCCTTCTACATAGTTGGGTTGCTTGTTCCTGTCCCCTTTTACTTGGTGAAACAGTCTTAGACATAGGGAAGATCATGCAGGAAACTGCCCCAATGAGCCAGGATTAGGTCAGAGAAAAACCTGATGGCCAACCATGATTTTCCCATTGGGTGGCACAGACTAAATGTAACCATTTTTAAGATTTTAAGTTACTGATCTGTGCCACAACGATATATTCATTACCGTTTCCCCCTCTTTTTCTAGAGCTTGTACTCAAGGTAAGGATTCAGAACCCATCTCTTAGAGAAAATGATTTCATTGAAATTGAACTGGACCGACAAGAGCTTACATACCAAGAACTGCTCAGAGTGAGTTGCTGTGAGCTGGGTGTTAATCCAGATCAAGTGGAGAAGATCAGAAAGTTACCAAATACGCTGCTAAGAAAGGTAAGAAAAGTCTGCCAAGCACAAATGGTAGCTTTTTGCTCTTGGAAAATAACCAACTTCCTCTTTGATTATGTGAGTCATAGTTAAAGAAATGAAAAGAGAATGCAAAAGGAGCGGAGAGTAGTTTTCCAAATGTAATCAATAAGCTTTCTTTCCCTATGCTGTGTCTTTAGAGACGCTGGCATTTTCAAAAGTTTTAAGATACTGGATAGAATGTTTGGAGTTGCGGGTCACATGTACCTATTTCCAGTTGTTTCTGCAATGACCTGTAAGGATCACCTTAGTGCATCATTAGATATGCTTTGTGTTTTACAAGAAAGACCCATGTTAAATTATAGGGCAAACCCACTATTTTTTTTTTTTTTTTTGTAGTTGGACACAATGCCTTTATTTTTTATTTATTTTTATGTGGTGCTGAGGATCGAACCCAGGGCCTCACACATGCTATGCGAGCACTCTAACACTGAGCCACAGCCACAGCCCCGCACTGGGTTTTTGAACATCAGGCTTCCTTCTCAGAAGGAAAACCGGCCCATGCATTGCCTGACCCTGCAGAGTATGTGCCCACCCTGTAGTAATGACTACTAAGGGCTTCTTCCATTATTCCAATCCAACTTATGCCCTGGGGATTTAATCACAGACTTATCTGCCATGGATTTTATTTTCCTTCCAGATTTTGAAGTGAACCAAGATACTGGTGTCAGTTCAGCCCACCAAACATATGGTGGTTCCTCTTAATCTGTTAACCTGTTTTGTTTTAGGACAAAGATGTTGCTCGACTCCAAGATTTCCAGGAGCTGGAACTGGTTCTGATGATAAGTGAAAACAATTTTCTGTTCAGAAATGCTGCGTCCACACTGACTGAAAGGCCTTGCTACAACAGGAGAGCTTCAAAACTGACGTACTAATGCAGCAGGGACTTTTATCGCTGAGTATTGTGACAATGTATGTCACCTCTGGGCCAAGGACAAGCCATTGATCCAAAAGCCTCGGATGCCCACGAGGTCCCCTGGTGCCACTGCGTAGTGTACACTAACATCGTTGTTCTGCCAAGGCAGGAAGCCCCTGTCCCCCAGCAGCGGTGCCACTCTTCCAAGCCTCTTGGTGCACAATAAACCTATTGCTTGAAGCTCTGAACAGCTGAGAAGTGGTCTGGAGAGGCAGAAGCCGGAGGTTCTATATCCAGTGTGTTTTATGTGCAGAATGTAAGAGAGTTGTCTAAGCAGAAGCTGAGAGAGCGCAGAACCTATTTCCGGCCACTCCTATTGACAGTGCACCTGAAGGGCCGGGCGCGCTTTTCTTGGTGTTGCATGCTCATGACTCTCCTGAAATTGCAAACTGACTAGAGAGGAAGACTGGGGAAAGCACAGGTACTGGACAAAGGAATTTTGGTGTGACTTGTGGCTGTGAGGTTTCTTAGAACATATTTATAAATGTTACTCAGGTGAAAAGTATTTAAGTATACAGTTACCTAATTGTAAATAGGCTGTTAACCAAAAGCTTCCCCTCCCCCACTTTTCCTTTGCGAACACTCACAACTGCTTCTGTCTCCACTATCATCTCTGCTTTACCTTCCCTTCACCGTCACTAGAGGGCTCTCGGAGGCTTTCTAAAAGAGCCACTGCATTTTTACTGAGGCGATTCCTGTCATCAATGTATTTAATTGCACTGTTTGAGAAGAGCACAAGCATTGCCAGTCCGTGTTCTACATTCTCATTTTCCACTAGAAATGAAAAGCAGTTTTTGAGCCTGAATCTGTTGCTATTTTACAGGTTATTGTGGGAAATTGAACTAAAGGAGTTAGCATCTTTATTTTTGTAACAAAGATAAAGGTTATTTTGAAATTATTAGGATTTTTACACAACTCTGAAATCTGTTGCTTTTTTAAACAAATCGTTTGATCTTAGGGATCCCCTACTGCCACCACCAATCTACTCAACAAAATCAGTTGTGAGTCTACCAGACTTAAAAACAAAAACAAAACTTAACCTGATTAAACTCTTGAGCATGGCATAAGAATTTTGTTCAAGAATGCATTTGAGGATTCTTTTCATTTTCTTCAGCATCATTAAGGTGAAAGAAAAGCTACTGTCTCGTTGAAACAAACAGCTTAGCTTTAGAAATCAGAGCTGCCCAGGTAGACAGGAGAGCAGGGGTTGAAACCAGCTGTTGGAGAGAGCATCCCCGCTGTCTTAAGAAGCTTTCTCCCCATAGTGCCTATAGTTTCCAAAGAAACTTAACTTCCTGACTGTGTTAACTTAATTTTATTAGAACACTATAATTGAGTAAGAAGGTGCAGAAGATGTCAATGGAAGAGAATGTTGTACTAAGATAATGGCCTCCTGCTGCTGCTTAAGTACTGAAATGAGGCTGAGATATTCTTCAAGGCCAACTTCATGGAGTCACTCTGTGACTTACTCTATCCCCTCCCCCCTTACTGCTGGTGACTTACCCTTGTGGAGTGTGCATAGCAGAGTGAAGGTTGCATATTACCCACTTTCTCTCAAGTGCTTTAAAGAAACCTCCCTTGTGTTTCAACCAATCAGAAACTACATTATCTAGATGTACTAACCTCTTCCTTCACTTTGAAAAGTTACAACTTACTGATACAATTAACTATGGTTCTATCCTTCAAGAAATGGTTCAGTATTAATTCATGTCTAAATTACTGGGGTTAAAACTCTTTTAGCCACCTAGATTAATTAGAGATTCTCAGAAGCAGTGGAGGCCCTTGGCTAGGAGGTGGCCTACAGAGTTGTTCTCCAGGCTCAGAAGCAGAGGGAGCAAGGGTCTTGGTGTCCCAGGCAAAAGGTAGATCCCTTGCGGCTCTGCCCTACCCTGATCTCTCTCTCCATAGAATCCTCTGTGGTCAGTGTCTCTGGCAGTGGGATTAGACTGCACAGTTGCTGGTAGGTGAGTTTAAAGTCTTAATCTATGCATTCAGAGAAATATTTTTATATGCTTTGTGTAATTTATAACAAGAGTTTTTTTTTTAGCTTTGTTAACTGTGAATTCTCTCCTCCCCCACTGCGTATTTAAAGCATGTGTTCACACTGTGTGTAAACATTCACAGAGGATTCTTTTCTTTGTGCATTGCTACTCTTCAAACATAACAGGTATTATTAAAATTAAATATTAACTGACCAAACCCATTTTCTTTCATTTTGGCCTCCTAAGTAGCACTGTATTTCTAATCACAGGAGTTCAAATTTCTGGACAGTCCCTGTGTCCTGGCACTCTGGAGGAAAAATAGAAGGGCTCACTCCCCACCTGAGCCTCCCGTCCTGCGGCTGTAGCGTCATGCTGTCAGTAACACCTGCAGGCAGATATTTTGTGTGGTGTCTTTCCTCCCAGTTCACAGCAGCTGGCTTCACTTCCCTGGAGGAGCTGAGCCAGCTAGATAGAGGTCATCCTCTATTAACCACATTTTTTGATTATCCTATTTACTTGACACAACTGAGCCTCTCCTTTGGGCTGTCAACACCTGTCAGGGCCTCAGTGAGCTCAGATGCAAACTCCCAGGACAGGAGAGGAAATAAAGCCTTACACCTTTAGATCTTTAGCTGAGAATGATGCTGAATGAATCTGCTTTTCTGTTGGTTTAGGCCAGCCAGCACCTCACAAAGCAGACGTCATGCCAAATTGGCCTAATAAATCAGAGAACATAGCAGAGACCTTTTCTTAGCACCAAGGAGAGGCAGAATAATTTGGGCATTTGTGCTTCCATACTTGCTTTATCACAAGGATGGAGGTTGCCTTCCATAAACTCATAAACATCCTGGGCAGAAACAGCCTGCCAAAAAAAATGTGATTAACCTTTAACAAATGGTCCTGCAGCACAGGCTGACCCAGAGCACACAGGAAAACCAGATCAAAGGAGCCATCTCCCTATCTACCGCAACCACTTAGGGAGGGGAAAGGAAAACAACCATCACCCATAGCCAGTCACATTACAAAGAATGAAGGTATAGGAAATGAGAGGGAGACCAAAGGGAACAGAAAGCTGAGGAAGACAACCAAGAGAAGATCCATCCTAAATATCAGTCCTGGTAGCAGGTGGGCTCTGACCTGCAGAAAATGAACTTGCTCAAAAAGTCAATTTTCTGGGCATGGTGGTACATGCCTATAATCCCAACTACTCCAGAGGCAGAGGCACAAAGATGGAAGGCTTGAGGCCAGCCTAGGAAATCCAACAAGACCTTGTCTCAAAATGAAAAATCAAAAGGACCATGGATGTAGCTCAGCATTGGGCTAGTGCCTGGCGCTTGCTTGCCCAGCGAGGTTCTGGGTTCAATCCCTACTTCTACTAAATAAAGAAATACAGTGAATTTAATTCACCTCCAGCAATCTCTTTTGCCAGCTCAGGACAGTGGACAATCAGCTCAGAGGGCTGAGGTGCTCTCAGTAGCTTTCCCAAGAGGCCTCCCATCAGGTTTCAGGGCCTTTATTTCTCACCTTTTCAGGTAACTACTGGCAATTATCCAGTGCCTGTTGGCTGTGAAGACAGGATTTCCAGCCAAAAGCTTTGGACCTGAAGTTTTCAGATAACTGCAGCCACGTAGATGTGTATGAAGTCCTTCTCCCCATTCCTCTCAGAGGCTCTAGCCCCCTAACCTCGAGGACAGGCAGAGAAAGGTGACACCAGGGCATTGTTGTTGTATGTTGCTAGGCACATAGCTTTATTTCATCAGTACTCCATTTTCAATGGATTCAGGCAGCACTGGGAGTACAGGACTCAGTTCCTAGGACAGCCTGACCCGGCAGTCCTCTGTTCCATGAGGAAAAAGCCTTACTAAAAAAATACTTGAGAACACGAAAAATGAGAGGCAGGAGGGAGGCCATCTTAAGAAATGATTGTTTAAAAACAGTGCAGTGTGGAAATAATGTTAGATTGGGACTCAGGAGATCCAGGACCTAGTCTGGGCTGTTTCAAACCAGCCATGACCTTGGGCCTGCCCTTCTGCTCTTGGGCCTCCTTCATGCTAAGCCTGGTTATTCCACGGGGCATTCGACAGAGGCACAATATCACAAGTGCCCCCACCATTAGCTATCAAGTTCATCCTGCAGACACATGGTGCGTCGTTTCCCTTCCAGAAAAGACCAGGTGGAAATGCCAGGAATATATTTCAGGCAAGTCCCGCATCTTTGGCCATCCCGTAGAAGATGCCTTTAGCTGCAATGAGGTTGGTTGGAGAATCAAATTCAGCAACTACCCCTTTGTCCAGGACCAGGACCCTAGTCAAAAAAGGAAAAAGAAGTAGTCAGGTCATCAGCCTAGAGCTGGCCAGACTCCAACCCTGCCCTTCTGGGTATTACTCAGGCCCCGCAGTGTCATGGCAGCCCACCCACTTCAGTCAGCCCACCCAATACAGCCACTGCGCCACATGTGCATGCCATCAGGTCTGGTTATTTTAGCTCTCCTGGCAAATGAAGCAGTTTGTGGGATCAAACACAAGATCCTATTCATCTCTGCTAGTCTGCGTTCTGAAAACCTTTCCTAATGAGCCCTTCCCCTGGTCGGGGTCACGGAACTTCAGCAGGCTGTGAGCAGGGAGCCACGGGCCTGCGCGCTGGGCCCCATGCATATCCATCTGCTTTGTGCCAGTTCACAAAGGCACACGGCGGGAAACCTGCTGCAGTGAGGCCTGACACTGGAATCTGGGACTTGGCTGCAAACCTGGCCCCACCCTCCACTCCCACCCCCACTGTCAGGCCCAAATCTGGGGTGAGAGTCTCCTACCAACCACACAGGCGCTCCACCTGGTGCAAGGCCAAGGGCTTGCTGCCAGCGTGCAGTATGAGGGGAAAGGGCCCTCCCAAGCCCACAGAGACCAAACTTGGTGGGAGGGGGCTGGCTACTTTCTATTCCCCAACTGCTGGGCTCCCAGAACTGCGTCCTGAGAAGGAGTGCCTCTGTGTGCATCACTGGCTGGCCTCCCTCCGAACTGGAGATCAGGAGATTGCCCATTCCAAAACGAAAGCCTCCAGCGGCTTCTCCTGGCTCCTCGGGCAAGGACCACATGCATTCCTGTGGTCCTGGGCAGCTCACAGGGACCTGTTCCTCTTTTCCCCTCTGCCCTTCAGCCTCACACGCCTCCTGCCTGGAGCGGGTGTGTGTCCCAGTGTGTGTGGCATGTGCTGCATCGTTTGTCTGAAATTTTCAGCTCCCTCCCTTCCTCATCTCCCCAGCCTCACTCTACTCATCCTTTGGGGCTGGGCTGGTGCTGCCCTTCCCTAGAGAAAGTGCCCTGGCCGCCCTGGGTGGCTAGGCTTCCTCTGGTCTACACATACCGAGCCCTGCTTCCTTCTTGGGGGCTCTAATCACAGGTTCTGAAGCAGGCTATGTGGTTCATTTCTGCCTCTGCTCTGCTAGAATGAATGAACTTGAAACCCTACGGTGGGGCCCAGCCTCCCACCCCGGGGCTGCTGGGGAATGAAGCATTTTTGGTTAGGCCTGGCCACAGATGGCTCCACCAGCCCTGCTGTTGGCTCCCCCGGACCCTGGGCCAAGTGCGTCCTGCCCACCTTCCCTTCTCCCCCAGCGCGTGGGGACAGGCTGGGGATGGAACAGGCAGAATGTAGCATCAGGTATTCTTAGTTGGGCTCCCAAGACCCGGCTGGCTATGTGGACACCCAGGAGAAGGTCTGGGTCTGACCCACAGCCCTGTCCCCGGTGCCCTCCCCTCCTTCCAGTGCTGCCCTGTAGGCGCTTCCTGAGTGACTGAAGGCTGTGGATGTAGCCCGCCTCCCCCCACCATACTCAGTCCAGACTTGTTTGGCCTCCAGCCTCCTCTTGCCCAGCCTCCAGGCCTCACTTCCAAGAGGTTTCTTAGTCACCAGCCCCCTCCCCTGTCCTCCAGCACCTTACCTTGACATTGAGCACAATGAGGGACAAGGTCATATTTTTTTCCTTCTGCCAAGTGCCCTGCTTTCCCAAGGAAGCCAAAAAATTCTGAGGGCAATGCCCTGTCCCTCTTCCTTTGAGGGACTAATGCTAAGCAGAATTATAATAAGTGAACAGTAAGGGGCTTGGGAGCAAACTGACATTTCCCAGAGTCGCCTGCAGTCTAAACACGTTTCATTGACTCCTTACAATAATCCTGAGAGACACTATCATTTCCATTTGAAAGAGATTCAGAGAGGCTTTGTAAATTACTCAAGGTCACACAGCAGTCAGTAGCAATCCTGGGCCTGGGACCGGTGCTCTCCTCACCACAAGGCATCAGCTCCTCTGGAAGCTGTAAGGGCCAGGCACCATGCAGGGACCCCAGGCATCACATGCCTCCCAAGCTACCTTCTCATCTGTAGCTCAGTGTAATAACCTCATTGTAGGCTGGTAATGAGGTGCAAGCCCTCTGTCAAGGGGCTTGAAAGCCATGCGTGCAGTCAGCTTGGGATTCCATTCCCTTACCTCACCCCATTAACAGGCAACGGGATAGAGGTGGCCCATGCAAATCCCCAGTGCCTGAGGAGCCCCAGTGCCCACCCCACAGGTTGGTAACTTCAAAGCATCCCCTGTGTCTTAGAATATGTCACTGTGCCCCGCTTCCCCGAGCCTAGGTAACCCTACTCTGTTCTTCCCCTTGTCCATGTCTTGGGTAGCCCTGCTCTTTCCCCCATGTCCAAGCTAATCCCAGGAGCTCTCCCATGCCCAGATACCCTAGCCTGCCCCCTCCTGATGCCCTAGGCAATGCCCCTCCCCTAGCTCCCCGCTGCTCAGGTTTCCTTGTGTCACCTGGTATAGTCCATGATTGTGTTGAGCCGGTGTGCAATGGTCAGCACAGTGTAGGTGTCAAACTGAGTGCGGATGGTGGCCTGGATAAGGTCATCAGTCTCCAGGTCAACAGCAGCCGTGGCCTCGTCCAACACCAGGATGCGGCTCTTGCGGAGTAAGGCTCGGGCCAGGCACACGAGCTGCCTCTGGCCAATACTGGGGAGAGGGAAGGTGGGCATTGCCAGCTGCGTCCCCCCGCCCCCCGGCTGCACTGGGTCTTGCTCCCAGACCTGTTTCTGTCTCCACTCCTTCTCCACAACCCAGGACAGGCTTCCTATCTAGTCTCTCCCATTTCTGCCACAGCCTAGCCCTCCTAAAAACAGAGTAGAGGTCTGGACACAGCCGGGATCATGAGTGGTCTTGAGAGTAGACAGTGCTAACATCACTGTGAGATCTCTGGTCCATTCTTGGGACTCTTTCTGGGTTTTCTTTCCCACCCTCATCCTCAATGAGGGCCACGATACTTCTCTGCTTTACTCTATTAGTCATTTACACCTTAGTAAGAACATGCATGTTTTGTTCTTCCTAGATATTCGTATATAAGTCATAACATGCATATTGCTGAGTTTACTATTATACAAGTCAAGCAATCATCTCCCACTCCCCATCTCCCAGGGCTCCATTTTGGAGACAGGCAAGGGGCAGGGCCTTTGGGGAAGAACCTGGGGACTCCTGGTGTTTGTTCACTGGGGGCCAGGAAGGGCGGCCAATGCAGACCTTTGTCCAATCTCCTGCCTTGGAAGCCAGAGCCAATAGACAAAGCAAGGCTGTGTTCCCAGCCACAGAGGCCACAGCACCCCCACACCCAAGGACAAATACCTCAGCCCTTCCCAGAGGGGTGAGTCACCACAGCCAGAGTGAAGGCCAGGCTCCCTCCCTAGCCCAGTCCCGCAACTAATGAAGGTTTTGGCAGCAAAGTGAGCCACCAGATAGAACTCAGGGCTGATTTATGGTGGGCTTGGCACAGGGTACAGGTCATACTCAAACTGCCCACAGGCTCAGTGAGGGAGGGAGGAGGGGAACGGATTTCTGTTTCCCATCCTGGTGTGTGGAGGGTAGGGGGATGCTCAGGGCAGAGTGGGGGGGTTGGGGTGGGTGAAGAGGGGCAGAGCTGGCAGCAAACAGGATAGGAAATTAGACCCAGAGACAGTGAGGGGTCAGAGTGTGGAGATCCCAGGCTGCCAGCCACCCCACTGTGGGTTTTGTAAATGAAGTTCAATGCAGGTGCACATGTTGTCTTAAAGGGCCACTGGGGGGTGTCAGGGAGTCCCTCCTGTTGTCTGAGGGAGGTGGCATAATGCAGCAAGGTAAGACTTGGGACAAAAAAAAAAAAAAAAAAGCCCACTTTCCTTTGTCCCTGCCCTGCCCCTGGCTAGCTGAGCAGCTTTGGGTAGATAATTTCATTCTGTGGAGCCTGATTTCCGGCCCATAGGACTGCAGTAAAGATTAAACCAGATAGTGGGGCCAAAGGACTTTGAACACAGTTAAACTCTGAGCAAACGTAAATGTTTTTTTGTTTTAATTTCTGAGGTCTGGGGAGAGTACATGAGTTCAGACTGAATATAAAAATGAAAATAAAGGGCTGGGGGTGTAGCTCTGCGGTAGCGGCTTGCCTAGGCTGAGTAAGGGCCTGGGTTCTGTCCCCAGCACCACAGGAAAAAAAAAAAAAAAAAGAAGAAGAAGAAGGGATCAGGGAAAGGGGCAGCAGAGAGAGGAACAGCGACATTCATGTGGTCCCAGCTAAGTGCTTTTAATTTCACTACAATGACCTGAGAGTGCTCTGTCCAATGGCAGCTACCGTGTGGCTCTTGGGCACTTTAACTGTGGCTAGTCGGAACTGAGAGGTGCTGTGAGGAAGAGTAAAATACAGGATCTCAAAATTGCATGAAAGAATACAAAATACTGCTGGCAGCTGTGGTGCCTGCCTATCATTCCAGGCTGAGGCCGGAGGAACACAAGTTCAAGGCCAGCCTCAACAATAGAGGGAGACCCTTAACACTTAGGGAGACCCTATCTCCAAAATAAAAACATAAAATGGGCTGGGGGTCTAGCTCAGTGGTAGAGCAGCCCTGAGTCCAATCCTCAGTACTGAAAAAAAAAAAAAAAAAAAAAAGGAAGAAAGAAAGAAAAAATACGAAATATCCCTAATAACTTTTTGTTTGTTTGTTTCGGGTGGTGCTAGGGATTGAACCAGGGCCTTGTGCATGTAAGGCAAGCACTCTATCAACTAAGCTAGATCCCCAGCCCCCTAATAACTTTTATATATGGATGACAGGTTAAAATAATAATATTTTAGATACATTGGGCTAGTTAAAATATTAAAATTTATTTTACTTGTTTATTTTCCCTGATTTTATTGTTTATGTGTTTTTGAAGAAGACAGGGTCTTACAATGTTGCCCAGACTGGTCTCGAGCTCCTGGGCTCCAGCCATCATCCTGCCTCAGCCTCCCAAGTGCAGGGACCCGCTATCGGCCATCATGCCCAGCCCTTTTTTATTATTTTCTTTATTTATTTATTGGTACTGGGGATTGAACCCGGGGTGCCTTATCACGTCTCTACATCCCCAGGCCTTTTTAGTTTTTATTTTGAAACAAGGTCACACTAAATTGCTGAAGCTGAACTTGCCATCCTCCTGCCTTAGTCTCCCATGTCACTGGGATTATAGGTGTGCACCATCATGCCCAGCCCAACCCTTTTTTAAAAAATGTGACTACTAGGGGCTGGGGTTGTGGCTCAGTGGTAGAGCACTTGCCTCGCATGCGCGAGGCGCTGGGTTCAACCTCAGCATCACATAAAAATAAATAAATAAAATAAAGATTATTTTTTTTTTAATGTGACTACTAGAAAAGAATTTTTTTCAGCACTGGGGACTGAACCCAGGGCCTCACACATGAAAGGGAAGGACTCTACCACTGAGCTACATCCCAGCCCTTTTCATTTTTTATCTTGAGACAGAGTCTCACTAAATTGCCCAGGTTGGCCTTAAAACTTTCAATCCTGCCTCAGCCTCCAGAGTAACTGGGATTATAGGTTATTATAGGTTATTATATAACCAGATAGAAAAATTTTCTTATGTGTATTTGACTCACATTGTAATTTTATTGGGTAGCACAGTGCTCAGAAGTATGAACGACTACTATTTCTACCACTGAACTACATCCCCAGTCCTTTTTATTATTTTTTTGAGACAGGATTTACGTTGCCCAGGCTGGCCTCAAACTTGCAATCCTCCTACCTTAGCCTCCTAAGTAGCTGGGATGACAGGCATTTGCCACCACATCTGGCTATTATTCCTATTTATTTACTTATTTATTTATTGGGTATGGGGGATTAAACTCAGGAACACTTGACCACTGAACCACATCCCCAGCCCTATTTTGTATTTTATTTAGAGACAGGGTTTCACTGAGTTGCTTAGTGCACCTTGCTTTTGCTGAGGCTGATTTTGAACTCTAGATCCTCCTGTCTCAGCCTCCTGAGCTGCTGGGATTACAGGCATGCACCACTGTGCCCAGTTTATTATTCCTATTTAAGAGTGAAGGGAGGGGCTGGGGTTGAGGCTCAGTGGTAGAGCGCTCACCTAGCACGTGCGAGGTGCTGGGTTCCGTCCTCAGCACCACATAAAAATAAATGAATAGGGGCTAGGGCTGTAGCTCAGTGGCAGAGCATTTGCCTGGCATGTATGAGGCACTGGGTTCGATCCTCAGCACCACATAAAAATAAATAAAAATAATAAAGGTAAATCATCAACAACTAAAAAAAAATAAAAAAAAAATAAATGAATAAAATAAAGGTATTGTGTCCAACTACGAATAAAAAAAAAAAAAAAAAAAAAAAAAAGAGTGAAGGGAAAGAAGGCACAAAGAAGTTAAGAAACTTGACCAAAATGACACAGCTGGGACAGGGGATATAACTTAATGGTAGCGTTTGCTTACCATGCTTAAGGCTCTGAGTCCCATCCCACAAAACAGAGAGACAAACAAGCCAAAAAAAAAAAAAAAAAAATCACAGAGAGAACACAAGTCTGAGTAGCAAGGCTTTAGACTTGGTAAGAAGTGATTTCTGGTCCTTCCTAATGCGCAGGCCGGTGGCTGGAGATATAAAACCAGGGACTCTGGAGGGGAGAATCAAGCGGCCAGGAGACCTTACTTCATGTACTTCTGAACTGACTGCATTCATCCTGCAAAGTATCTATGACTTTCCTAAAGCATTGGGGATATTTCCCATCACCCACTCCACAGGTTCTATCCTTTCCCAGCTCAAGCTTAGCATGACAACCTCTACAACATGACCCGATAGGATTTTGGAATCTCTCAGAGCTGGTTCAAATTCTAAGCTTATCTTTTCCCAGCTGTGCAACTTTGGCCAAACTGCTTACCCTCTCTGAGCCTGTTTACCTCCCTGTGAAGTGGAATTGGGGACCACCTATGGGGCCTGTGTGAGGTAGTACCCTGTGCCTGGTACACAGAACATACTCAGTACAAAATAATGCCCCATGTGAGCTTGACAGAGATTAGGAGCAGGGAGGAGAGGGGGGACTAGCCTGATGCCAGACCTTCCAGCATCCCCAGGGTCCCCAGGGAGGGCTGTGGTTCCTGACCTGTCCACTCCCCACTCTTACCTGAGATTCTCCCCGCCCTCCGTGCACTCGAAGTCCAGGCCTGCTGGCTGGGCACTCACAAATTTATGCAAGTGGGCCAGCTCCAAGGCTCTCCAAATGTCCTCCTCCGAGTAGTGGCCAAAGGGGTCTAAGTTCATACGTAGGGTCCCCGAGAACAGGATGGGGTCCTGAGGATACAATAAAGTCTCAGACAGAAGCAGCTCAGGCCCAATGAAGAGGCTGGGGCCCCAGGTGCTGAGAAAAGAAAGAGGGTTAGGTGGCAATGTTCTCATTCTGTCCCCAGCCCTCCAGGAGGGAGACAACTGCCAAGGAGATAAAAAAATTGCCTGTAGGAGTGATAAAACCTCAGCTTTGCCAGTCACTAAGTCCTCCGCTAAAGCAGGGACAGAGTCACTAATCTGACTGCAAAGTGTCCAGTTGGCAGAAAAAAAAACAAAGGAAAAAAAAAACAGAGAAACCAGAAAAAGTGAAATGTCAATCAGAGCTATGCAACCAGAACCCCAGATGGAACACCTCAGAGATGGGGTGCTTGGAGGGGTCCTGTGGTCCTTCCTGATTCGCCGGCCCAGCAGGTCAAAGGCAGGGCTCAACTGGGGCAGGGGATGCCTCACCCTTTCAGACCTGTGACTGTGGGGCTCCATGGTGACCCCGCTCCCTCTCCCCTACCAGCCTCCATTCTGGGTCCTCACCCAGAGAACAGGGGTGGGGCTGGCTCCCAGGGTGGCTGGCAGTGTGGCCACTCCCTGGCGGGCTCCTACCTGCGGGATGATGGTCAGCTGAGAACGCAGGTCATGGAGGCCCATGTTTGCCACGTTGAGGCCGTCGATGAGGATCTCACCCTCTGCGGCCTCCAGGATTCGGAACAGGGAGAGGGTCATGGACGACTTGCCAGCCCCAGTGCGGCCTACGATGCCCACCTGCAGGAGTGCGAAGAGCTGTCAAGGGGAGGCTAAGAGGTCACAGGCCATCCCCCGTCTCCCAGCTGCCCTGCTGCTGTCTGACCAGAGCGCCTGCCCTCTTGGAGACCGGGCCTCCCACAAGGGCAGTAACAGCCTCCCCAGGCACAAGCTCACGCCCAGCCCCTGGGCCTTGGTACCTTCTCGCCTCCGTTCACGCGCAGACTCAAGTTCTTCAGCACCAGCTCCAGGCCCGGGCGGTACCGCACAGAATAGTTCCGGAACTCCACTTCCCCCTTCAGGGGCCAGCCTTCAGGAGGACGGCTGCCCTCCACCACCCAGGGGGCCTGGCGGGGTGGCACGGGCCTTCTCATCAAGGTGGCCCCTTTTCCCCAACTTGCCCTCTTCCCGGCTCCTCAGTCCCCTCCCTCCCAAGGCCACTCAGTCCTCACCCACTGGGGTCTCTAGGAGAGGCCCAGTGACTATGTGAGAGAGAGAGAGTGTGTGTGTGTGTGTGTGTGTGTGTGTGTGTGTGTGTGGTGCAGCAGACAGAACCCAGGGCCTCCTACACACTGGGCCAGTGGCCAGTACTTTTCCACTGAGCCACACCTTGGCCCTCTCCCTCTGACTCTAACTCTCCGCAGAGCCACCTGGAGGTCCCATCAGCCTCAGGATTCACCTTCCTGAGGTGCCCTCCTTGCCGGCCCTAGCTCTTCCTGTCTGGCCTCTAATCCATTCATTATTATTAAGTGTCAGGGACACATGGTGATCCCAAGAAGACCCAGTCCTTGCCCCCAGGAGGCTTACATTCTCGCACCAGAGCCTACAATGGATTAAAAAAAAAAAAAGGCAAGTTTGTATAATGCAAGGAATGTCTGTTCTGCACAGGATGGTTAGGGGGGGCTTCCTGGAGGAGGGGTCAGTTAGTGAAGACCTGAAGGAGGTCAGGGAGCATGACAAGTGGACGGGGGCAGGGAGAGGGAACAGCAAGTGCAGCTGCCTCCTGGTGTGTTAGAGAACACAGAGTCAAGAAGTTGCAGGCTGAGGCAGAGGGTGGCCCCATCATTTAGGGCCTGGCAGGCCACTGTCACGACCATGCTATTTTGTATGTTTTTTTGTTTGGTTTTTACCCTGAGTAAGATGCAAAGCTATTAGAGGGCTGTGCTCAGAGCAATGCTGTGACCTGATGTGATTTTAAAGGATCTCTCTGGCAGCTAGAAGGAGAATAGAATGACTCGGTATAAGATGGTGGTAGTTTTGAGATAGGACTAGCTACATAATTTGAGAGGCCCAGGGCAAAATAAATATAGGGCTTCCTATTTAAAAAAAATATTAAGAAGGTCAGTTCAGGGACAGAGGCACATGCCTGTAATCCCAGTGACCCAGAAGGCTGAGGCAGAGGATCACAAGTTGGAGGCCAGCCTCAGCCATTTGGCAAAGACCCTGAGCAATTTAGTGAGACCTTCTCTCAAAAAAATAAATAGATAAATAAATAAAAGGGCGGGGGATGTAATTCAGTGGTAAAGTGCCCCTGGTTTCTATCCCTGGTGCCAAAAAAAAAAAAAGAATGTTGAGATGATGACAGCAAAGTATTAAACTCAACTTAGAGTTTCTAAGCGTGGACCCTTCTAGTAATGAGGATTTGATTGACAGCCCAGGCCACACAACCATGAAACTGGCCTTGCTTGGTAGCATGGAAGCCAGATGGTCAGAGGTCAAAAAGCAGAGCAGCAAGTTCCAAAGGATGTCATGGAGATGTCAAAGGAAAGACCAGGCAGCATTGTTTAGTACACAGGGACAGGATCACGTGTGAACACAGGGCAAGCTGGACTGCCGGACATGAAGAGGGAGATGTGAAGATCCCAAGATGGGAGTGGGATCACTACCTTACACAAGGTAGGGCCAGGACGGGGAGCAGGCTGGCAGGAACGGGTGGTGTGGGGTGGGAGCTCCGTGGAGACAAACTGGCAAGCTGACAGCTCGGGTCACAGAGCCCAGGACCCAGGACTAAGAAGGGCAGGTTGTTGCCTCTGGATGTTGTGAAGATTGAATCAGAGAGAACAGAAAACCATTTCCTAGATGGGATGGAGGGAGGTCACGGGTGAGCCAATTCAGTAGAGCCATGAGGACAGACAACAGACCATGGGGGGAAGTGAGATCCAGGGTAAGGAGTAGAGAGACCACGTGTCGTTCAGTTTAAAACGAGGTTCACAGGGATGGGGATGTGACTCGGTGGTACACCGTTTGCCTAGCATGTGTGAGGCTCTGGGTTCCATCGCCACGACCATGAAAAACAGAACAGAAAATGAGCTTCACCACAACAGAGAGCAGAGGAACTGGGGCAGCAAGATGCAGGGAAAGGGAGGAAGGGCGGGGGGGAGAGAGAGAGAGAAATGAAGATGGAACAGCACGTTGTTTTGCACAGGGATGGGAATCTTCCAACAGAGAGAGCAAGACTGACGGCATAAGAGACGGATGTGCCACCGAAGAAGTCAAGGCCTCCACCAGCCACGGGAAGAAGCCGAGGGGCTAGACTTTGAATCAGGAAGGGGTAGGGTCTGCTCAAAGAGAGTCAGAGGCCGTGGAGGAAGCAGGGCTGGTCTAAAGTCCTGGAGGCAGGGAGGCCGAGGGAATTCACTAAGCTCTTTTCTCATTGAAGGAAGTGTCAGGGGAGGTCTACAGCTGAGCCCGGGGAAGGAGGTGTGGTTTGAGGACAGGATGTCAGGAAGAGGTCTTTCTTTCTTTTTTTTTTATTTTTAATTTTTTTTAATTGTAGATGGACACAATACCTTTATTTCGTTTACTTATTTTTTTATGTGGTGCTGAGGATCGAACCCAGGGCCTCACACATGCTAGGTGAGCGCTCCACCACTGAGCCACAACCCCAGCCCCAAGGAAGAGGTCTTTCTGAAAGTGGGAACGTGCGCTTCCGGAGGAAGCAAGGCAGGCATCCCCAGCCGAGGAGGGTGGTTATAAACCTGAACTACAGGCAGTGATTTTCTCCAGCTGTGTTCTAGCTGCTCAGTGCAGATATGAAGGCAGTGGACAGGTGGGCTCAGCTGGGGGCGGGGGTTGTAGGTGAGGACAAAAGAGAGAAGAGAAGGAAGTCGAGACCGTTGGCGTTGGTGGAGCATAGACTCTAGGCTGGCTGGGGAGGGAGGAGAGGCTGGAGGAGCTGGTGAACAGAGAGACAACCAGCGGTCATGGGATTGGGTTCCCCGGGCAGGCAGAGTACAGTGACCATGCAGGACTCAGAGCATGTGATCCAGGAGGGATGAGGGGTGGGTGTCTAAAAGTGGCATGCGTGATACCGAGAGCACAGAGATAGACTGGCTTCCAGGCAGGCAGAGGTCTGGTGTGTGACCATGGCAGGGGACAGTGGAGAAAAGTCTGGATGCCCTCCCCCATAGTAGAGGACAGCTCCTTTTCTCCATCAAAGGATGTTGCCCTACCTCTGCTCCTTTGACCAGGCCAGTCTCTGGCTAGAATGGGCACCTTCCCACTGTCCCACTCTCCCATCTTACCTGGTCTATCAAAACCTACCCAACTTTCAAATCCCAGTTCCCTCTCTGATCACCCTAGCTAACGGAACTGCCCTGTCTGTCCTCTTTGGGTGCCCCACCCGAGAGCTCTTGTCCACTAAGGAGCCCTGCCCCTACCGGGGGATAAGAGTCGGCCGAGGGCACATGTTACCTTGTTCTGCTCTGAGCCCTCTACACCTCCTAGCACAGCCCCCCAGTTGATGACCTATGAGGGTTGGATGGACAGATGAATGAATGAAGAGCCTCCTAAACATGTGGCCTTGATATTCAGGGGGCCACCAGGCTTTCTTCCTCATCTGCTCCAGATTCCCCCGGCCCTGGGCTCATCCCAGCACTCACCTCCATCTCTGTCCTGGAATACTCCTTGACCCTCTCCACGGCCACAATATTAGACTCCAAGTCTGACATCGATCGTATCATCCAGTTCAGAATCGCTGTCACCTGGCCAAAGGGACCGGGTTATGGGAGGGCCCCCATCCTGTCCAGCAATGGCTCTGGGAAGAGTTCAGCCCTTGATCATGCTTCTATCCATGGAATCCTATCCTATCTATGACCCAGCTGTGTCCACTGGGGCTCTAATCAGGAATGTGCCTCAGGCAGTGACAATGCAGACTTAGCCAAGGGTCGCCTCAGTGTTTCTTAAACCTTAATAGGTATAAGACTTCCCAGGGAATCTTGTTAAAATGCAGCTTCTGATTCACTTAGGTCTAGGGTGGGACCTGAGTGTCTTCATCCCTAACAAGCTCCCAGAAGATATTGATGCGGCCAGTCCAGCGGCCCCATTTTGTGCATCAAGGAGTCCTGCTAGATATGCAGAATGCTGAGCTCCATCCCAGACCTAGTGAATCAGAATGTACATTTTAACAAGATCTCCAGATAATTCGCATACACATTCACGTTCGAGAAGACTGCCCCGTCTAGTTTGCCTTTTGTTTACTGATGCATTCAAGATTGGAGCCACCCGAGGCATCAACAATGTGATCTGCTTTACAAAAATTCCATTTGCAGTTATGTAACCTCTTTGACAATACAGGCTGGTCTCAGGGTGACCTGCTTGACCTCCAGCCCAGGCTCCAGCCACCCAATCTGTCTGATATGTGTACAGTTATGGCTCTGCATCACCAGAGGGGTGGTTCCAGGATCCCCTAAAGATACCAACATCCCTAAATGTTCTATGTAAAATGATGTAACAGTATGCCATATGCAACCTACTCACATCATCCTGGACACTTTAAATCATCTCTAGATCATTTATAATACCTAATAAAACGCCTGCATGTCACTTCATTCATATGGATTCAGTGTAGTATTCAGGACATGGCAAATTCAAGTCTTTTTTTTTTTTTTTCATATTTTCTATCTGCAGTTGGTTGAATCTCTGGGTACAAGGAGCCAAGCCAAATTTCTCTGCGGGCACGAGAACATGAGGTGTGATGCGGTCTATGCTTCCCCATGCCCTTGCCTCTGTCAGGTCGACCCGCATCTTGTCCAGACATGGCAAGTTCTGTTTGTCCTTTGGGGCCAAGTTCCAAGACCATTTCTTCAGCACCCCAGAGCAGGCGACTCCTCTGGGCTCTTTTGTTCCTGCTTCCCTGAGGACCTACTCAGCCTGAAGTGCCGTCCCCTGCTGTTGGAAGTCTCTCTTTTTTTATAGAGGGGGGATACTGGGGATTGAACTCAGGGGCACAAGACCACTGAGCCACATCCCCAGCCCTATTTTGTATTTTATTTAGAGACAGCGTCTCACTGAGTGCCTCTTTTTGCTGAGGCTGGCTTTGACCCTCCTGCCTCAACTTCCCGAGGCAGCACCACATATAGGCGTGCAGCACCACACCCAGCCTGCCTGTGGGAATCTCTTGACCCCTGCGAGCTCACACTCCTTGGGCACGGAAACTGTGACTGTCCTGATATTGAGTAGAGCACTCTGGAGGTGACATTTGTATGGCCTCTGCCCAGTGCTGGTCCTGCCCTGGGACCCTTTCCATACCTGTAGGGCATAGGACACTGAAAGTCCCACCAAGCCGGGGTTCAGGCTGTTCCTGCCGATCACCGCGAACAGCGCGGCAAAGAACACCACGCAGTTCCCCACGAACTCCACGCGGATGCCCAGCCACCTGGGAGGGTCGGACAGGGAGGAAATGGGTGATGCAGGAAAGGGTCAGTTTTTCTGTTTAGGAGGACAGGGAGGCCAGGACCTCAGGGAGCCCGTGGAAATGCCTGGAGGAGGGGCAGAAGGGGAGGCTTCTGACCGGTTGGAGGCGATGTAGGGGTAGGTGCTCCTCTGGTTGTGGTCCACCTTAGTATCACTGAGGACCTGGAAGTCGTGGCTGCGGCCATAGGCCCGGATGACACTGGTGCCAGTCACCGTCTCGGAAAAGTGGGAGTAGATGGGCGAGCGGCTGACCGATTCCAGCCGCTTCAGTTGCCGGGACGTGGCCACGTAGAGGCGCTGATGGGGAATGGGGGGGAGAGCGTGGGGCCAGGGCTATGGAACCCCAACTCAGCTCTGCTCATCCTCTGAACCCATCCATGTTTTCTTGGACCTCTAGTCGGCCACTGGCCCCACTGTCCCATGAGATCTTGCTGCCTTCCCCTGACACCTCCCCTTGGAGATTTAGGGTGTTCTTTCTTTCTTTCTTTGGTACTGGGGATTGAACCCAGGGGCACTTTGCCACTCAGCTACATCCCCAGACCTTTTAACTTTTTTAAAAAAATATTTTGTTTAGTTGTAGATAGACATAATACCTTTATTTGATTTATTTCCTTTTTATGTGGTGCTGAGGATCGAACCCAGTGTCTCACATGTGCGAGGCAAGCGCTCTACCACTCCCACAATCCAGCTCCCCTTTTAATTTTTTATTTTGAGACAGGGTCTTGGCTAAGTTGCTGAGGCTGGCCTCAAACTTGTGATCCTCCTGCCTCAGCCTCCTGAGTTCCTGGGACTATAGGCATGCCCCACAATCACCTGCAAGATGTAGGGTCTACCCTTTCCCTCTGATCAGCTTTGCTCAGTCAGGCAGGGCACTTCCTCCTGAAGCCCCTCCTGATCCCCTCTTAGCTCCTTCCCACCTCACCCTCTCTGGATCCCCTGACCTTGCTTGGCCTCCTAAGTAGGGAAATGTCTGGCAATGTGCTCCCAGTCAGATGATTTTGCAAAAAATCACAAAATAAGGGCCTGGGTGTAGCTCTGTGGTACAGCGCTTGTCTAAAATGCACAAGGCCCTGGGTTTGGTCCCCAGCTCTTCAAAAAGAAAATTATATTCTTTTTTTCTGAAAAAGTCCTACTCCAGTTTAAACTTTGGCTCCAGAAAAATCACAGTTCTTCTTCCAGTTTCTTCTGTCCCCTATCCTGGGAGCCCCAAGATGGCCAGAGCTATACAGGAGATGTCTGAGGCCCTCTGGACCAGAACAGTCTACAGTTCAGATCATGGGCTCCATGCCTGGGGTTGAGCTTCCAGCACCTGCTCTATCACCATCATCAGCTGATCACCGAGTAGCAGGACTCAGTGATTGCAGAGCCTTTACAGCCGTATCTGAATGCTAGCAACTCATGCATGTTTATACAGGTATAAAAAAGCAAAGGACAAAGTGTCCCAACTCTTTACAGTGATTTATTTGTTTATTTTATTTATTTGGGGTACTGGGGATTGAACCTAGAAGCACTTTATCACTGTGCTATATCCCTAGCCCTTTTTATTTTTTGAGACAGGGTCTTGATAAGTGGCTTAGGGCCTCACAAAGTTGCTGAGGCTGGCCTCAAACTTGGGAGCCTCCTGAGTTGTTGGGATTACAGGCATGCACACCCCTCCCAGCAACAGTGTTTTATTAAAATACAGCCAACCGCCTGACACGCTGGTGCACACTGGTAATCCCAATGACTTGGGAAGCTGAGGCAGGAGGATCCCAAGTTTGAGGCCAGCCTCAGCAACTTAGTAAGATCCTGTCTCAAAAAGGGCTGGGGGTGTGGCTGAGTGGTAGATGAAGGCACTGAACAGCATCCCTAACACAACCCAGTGACAATATACTCCTGCTCTACAGCCTGCAAGAGTGTCCTGCGCACCCTCGGGTACCTGTGCAAAAATGTATAGCAGAGCCAGAGGCAGGACGACTACAAGGAAGAGCGGCGTGGTGATGATGATGACCACGAGGGTGGAGAGGGAGTTGAAGACGGTATTGAGCATCTGGAGGATGGAGGGGGCCAGGATCTCATCGATGACGTTGATGTCCTTGGAGAAGCGGTTGAGGATGCGGCCTGAGGGCGTCGTGTCGAAGAAGGACTGGGGCGAGCGCATCTTGTTGTACAGCAGCGCCTCGTGCAGCAGGCTCGCCGCGTGGACGCCGCCCATGGCCATGGTGAAGGCCGCCAGCATCACCAGGAGCCCTGTTGGGGGAGGCAAGGGCCGCTCACTCACCCAGGAGACCCGGTGGGCATGGAATGGCCAGTGCAGAGACAAGGAGACTCTGAGGCAGGGGCATGGTTTGGGGAGCCAGAGAGCCACAGGAGAAGAGGGGATCCAGGAGCCCCCGTAGGCGCCTCGGCGGGTTCACCTTGCAGCATCCCCAAGGTGGCGTAGATGCCCAGCCGCAGGGTGGTGTTGTTCTGTCTGCCTTCCACCGTGGCCTCGTTGGTCCAGGCACTGAGCCACATGTTGGCCCCGATGGCAGCGGCACTTTGGCCCGTATAGAGGACGCAGATAGCAAGCGCGGTCCAGAGCCCCACGGCCTTGGCATAATCCCAGAACACACCTAGCTTCACCTGCAGGGAGAGCCCATGGCAGTAGGGGCGGGATTCCATGCGCTCAGGGACTTGGGTGGGCAGCCAGACTCACTTTGCCGGTCTGGGCCGTCTCCTCCTGGACGAGCACCCCAGTCTTCTTCGCTTCGGTCACCTGTGCTGCCTTCTCTGATTGACTCAGGTGTCTCCGGAGCACAGCCCGACTCTGGCCCTCCCCTTCTGAAGACATGGTGCTCAGCTCTCTGGATGGAGGCAGTTGCTCAGATCCAGGGAGGGGGGCCTCTGGCATCCCAGGACAGAGGCCCAGAGTGGGAATGCAGAGAGAACCGCCACTGGGCAGGGCTTGGGAGCCCAGCTGCAGCCTTCCAGGGGCTGGGAGCTCACCTCATAAACTGCCTCTGGACCTCGTAGGTGACTGGCTCACTGTCTGTCAGGTGCGTGTGGTTGCTGAGTGTGTCATCTATCAGAAGTTCCTCCTCGTCTGCTTGTGGCAAGGCTGCAGAGGGTGGGAGGAAATCACAGGGGTTGGATGCTCATGCTGCAGCCCCTGTATCCCCTAAGCCCGGATGGACAAGCTCAAGGAAGGATGAGGGGGTTTAGAAGGACAACCAGAACGACCTGGGTTAGCCAACAAGGAGAACTTCCCTCTAGAGACTATGGAGAAGGGGACTCAAATATAAGGGTAAGGAACTTGGGCTCTGGAGTCAGGCTGACTGAGCATAAATTTCCACTTTCATGAGAAAGGGATCACAGGGGTACCTGGTTCACGGCATCACTGTAGGATTAAGGGAAGGAATGTGTGTCTAGGGATTAGCAAGGGACACAGCACTGGGTGAATGCTTTAGACAGGTTGGTTGTACCCATGGAGAGTATTCAGGAAAGCCCAGGAAAAGGCCTGTGAGCCAGCTGGGTAACAAGATGGGGGGTGGGGCATGTTGTGAGCCCAGGGATTCTGTGGGGATTTTTTTCCCCCATTGACTGCTGTCTCTCAGTGCCTGGACACGGTTCCATAAATCTTGAATGATTTTGCCAAACACTTGCATATTTGCTAAACAACTTATCCCCAAAAACAGGTTTGCCATACACTTAGGACCTGAGTCCACATGCCCTTTGATAGATGGGAAAACTGAGGCTCTGAGATCTGAGCTGCGAGCTGCTGATCTGAGGCCCCACAGTTAGGGAAGAGGAGGAGGTGGGATGTGGCTGCATCCAGTTCACTTTCCATGTGGTGATGCCCAACACAGATGGCCCAGGTTTCCCAGAACCTCCGTGGTACAACAGTGGGCCAATCCAGAAACACTTGGAGACCCCAGATAGGGGAGATGCAGGGAGGGCACAGGAATCAGGAGAGCCAGGGATGGCAGATACCAATTCTGCTGTCCTCGGGGTGCTCCTGACACTCATAGAGTGCATAGTTGCGGAGGAAGTTGGCAAAAGAGCCGTCGTGTTGCAGTAGGGCTGAGTAGGGGCCCATCTCAGACACCTGCCCGTCAGCTAGCACGATGATGAAGTCTGTCTGGGGCAGGAAGCTGATGTTGTGTGTCACCAGCACCCGAGTCTGCAGGGAAGGCGGCAGCCCTTCAGCCCTTCAGCCCTGGGCACAGGCCACGAAGCACACGTGAGCTGTCCAAGGAGCATGGAGAGGCAGCTCCAGGACTCGCCCCATGTTTTCTGCAGCTCGCTCAGTGCTGGGGTACACGCCCTCAGGGGTTTCCTGTACTGGCCACCCCACATTCCTGCTCCTTGGGTCCCACACCTCCAGGTCTCACCCAAATCCCTTCATTCTCTCTTGGGCCCCCGATCTCCCCTGAGCCTCCTGAACCTCCCGTGGCCTCACCTTGCCCGCCAGCACACCTTCTGGCCCGATCACGTGGTCGAAGATGTGTTTGGCTACATGGGAGTCCACAGCTGACAGTGGATCATCCAGCAGAAAAACATCCGCGTCGCTGTAAACAGCTCGGGCCAAACTGACCCTCTGCCGCTGGCCCCCAGACAGGTTAATGCCCTGGAAGGAGGCGGTGTTGGGAGGCAGGTGCAGGATGGAAGGGGACCAGATAGGCCCAGGGGGACAGTTCACATAATTTCTGGCTGTTTTTGTGAAGCTGTACAGCCACCAAAGAAGGAGTGGTGGTCTCAGAGTCCTCCCAGGGCAGGTGAGACCATCCTTCTCCTTTGCTTTAACCTGCCTCTCTAGGTGACCGTGCCCCAACCAAGTGTCCTTCAACAGAGGAATGGAAACCCATGAGGTCTATCCATACACTGCACTGTCACTCAGTCCTAAGAAGGAAGGCAACGCTGACACATGCTACAGCACGGGCGGACCTTGGGGACATGACGCTCGATGAAATAAGCCAGTCACACAAGGATACTGTGTGATTTCCTCACATGACATACCTAGAGTAGTCCGATGCCTAGAAACACAAGAATGACAGTTGCCAGGGGACTGGGGAGAAGGGAGTAGGGAGTTAGCAATCAAGGGGGACAGATGAGCCAGTTCGGCAGGATGAAAGGTTCTGGAGATTGTTGCCTGACAACGAGAATGCACTCAACGCCACTGAACTGCACATTTAGAAAAGTCAAGGTGGCTCGTTTTGTGTTATGTGTCCTTGACAACAATTGAAAATGAATGAATTAAACTTAAAACAGAAAAACAAAAAATTAGGCCAATGTCCTTTGTTTCGTGGTGCTGGGGATGGAGCTCAGGGGCGCTCTACCACGGAGCCACGTCCCCAGCCCTTTTTATTTATATATTTATTTGGGGATTGGGGATTGAACTCAGGGGTTCAAAAGCCACATCCTCAGCTTTTTTATTTTTTATTATTATTTTGTTTTGTTTTGTTTTGAGACAGGGTCTCACTAAGTTGCTTAAGGCCTCGCTAAATTGCTGAGGCTGGCCTCCAACTTGCAATCTTCCTGCCTGAGCCTCCTGAGTTGCTGGATTGTAGGTGTGCCCCATCGCACCGGGACTGCCTCTTTTTATTTTTAATTTTGGGACAGGATCTTGCTAAGTTTCCCAGGCTGGCCTTGAACTTTTGATCTTCCTGTCTCAGCTTCTCCAGTTCCAGGTGTGTGCCTCTGTGCCTGACTCAAGTTTTTGAAAGAGCCAAATCTTTAACTACAACGGTCTTGCCCTATCCCCCACCTCTATTTCCTAACCTCATTCAACCATTCAAACCTGTGTATATTCGTACCTTGCTTTGTTTTTTCCTTTAGCATTATCTATTATACACACGTTTCTTGCTTATTGACTGGAATGTAAGGTATATGCAAGTAAAGATTTCATTTAGCCTGGTGCATCCACTACTGTATAATACTGCCTGACACATAGTAGGTGATTAATAAAAATCTGATGAATGAATGAAAAATGAACGAACAGGTGAATGATAAGCTCCTTCTCAGCTGCCAAGATCCAGCTCTGAACGGATGTAAACTCCCCTTTAGTCCCCTTCCTATAGTCCTGCACAGAACTTCAGCCTGGCCCCAGGGCAGTCTATGGCTCCCACCTGGTTGGCCTCCCCTGGAGGAGATCTGTTTCCCCATTGCCTGGCACGGGGCTGGAGGTGATGTTACATGAAGGTGTAAATGAATAAATGAATCTGTGGACCTGGGCAGGGCTGAGGTGGGCAGTTCTATACGCTGGCTCCTCGGGGATGGGAGGGGACCCTGTACCTTCTCTCCAATCTCTGTCTGGTCCCCACCAGGCAGGACCTCCAGGTCTGCTAGCAGAGCACAGGTCTCCAGAGCCTGTTGATAGCGCTTAGGATCCATGGTTCGGCCGAACAGCACGTTTTCCTGAAGTGTACAGTTCTGGATCCATGCCTGCTGGGGCACGTAGGCCACAGAGCCCTGGCCAGAGAAGTTTGTCTCAGGGTTTGCCCAAGGCCAGGTACAGCTTCACGCCCTCTGCAGGAGTCCCTCTCACCTTCATAGACACTTTGCCTTCCAGCTTCTCCATCTCTCCCAGCAGGGCAGACACCAGGGAGGACTTCCCACAGCCCACTGGCCCCACCACGGCCACCAGTGTCCCTTTCAGGATTTGGATGTCTAGGCTGGGAGGAAGAAGCCCCAGTCAGAGGCGGAGATCAGGGTGGATTCCCAGCCTGCCTGCTTCAGACCCAAGCCCTCCTCCTTTCCAAATACCACCCTGGCAAGCTGAGGCTCTTCCTGTGTTCCCGGTCAGAGACAGAGAGGAAAGAGGGTGTGGCTATTGATGGGACCTTCCTCCCACTTCGGGAGGCTTAGAAGAGAGTGGGAGGAGCTGATACCTGTGCAGGGTAGGGGGCAGGTCCTGGGCCCAGGTGAAGGTACCATTCTGTATGGTGATGGCGTAGCCTGGGAGAACCAAGGTGTACAGGGTCAGGGAGCCCAGGGAATAAGGAAGGGGGCAGGGAGACCGAGGGGGAGAGGACAGGGGAGGAAGCCTGGAATCCTTGGAGGAGGGGCACAAGGGAGAGGTATAGGGTGCCCCATGGGGAAGAGGAGCAAAGGACCCAGAAGAGGGAGGAGGGGGGCGGTGGAAAGCAGATATGCAAAGAGAAAGAAGAAAAGGAGCAAAATTAGGAAGCTTGGAACAAAAGACTAAGGGCTGGTGCAAGGGCAGCCCTGGTAGGTGATGTCCGGACCTGGGGAGATGGTCTTTCTCTCCACACACTGGGAGTCAAGTTCATCTTGATTCAGGAAATGCTGGATCCGTTTCAGAGACACACTGGTCTGCAGGAGGCTGTGAGTCAGCCCTCAAGGTTGCTCCTCCCACTTTCCACCCCTCCTCCCCTTGCTCAGTCCCTAACTTCCTGAACCAGACAGGGACCCATGAAGGCCCTCTCCCTCTCCCTGGTGCTGAGCCCTTCCCACGACCAGGTCTTCCCTGGTTCCTACTGACAAAGAAAAGGTCCAGGTTGGCAAGAGGAGGCTGTCTCCAGATCTCAGGTTTCCAGAGACTGCACTTGATCTCGTGTGACTCCAAATGACCCTATTCACTCACATACCCTCGACAACTCTTGGTAAGGACAAATGGTCCTCCCCTGACTACAGGAACTTTCCTTGATTATTCCCTAAGTGACCCTTCCCTGATCTCAACAACCTGCCCTAAGTCCAGGGGAATCCCCAGCCCTCCTGGGGTTACCTGGGTGAGGCCACTGATTAACTGGGACAGCAGGTTGAGGGGTGCCTTTAAGACATTGAACAAGGACACGGACACGAAGGCCTTCTCGGCGTCCAGCACGTTGTTCTTGTCCACGCACACAAACACCCCGAGGGTGAGCAGGCTTACCTGGGCGGTGCAGGAGTGGGTGTCAAGGTGGAGTCTGCTGGGTCCCCGTCACCCCAGGGAACCCAGAGACCCAGGCTGGCTCAGCAGGAGGCAGGAGCTCAGCCCCCGTGAGATCCTCACTAGGAAAGGGGTGCAGATCCAGGTGAAGGTGGATATGGCTTGGAGGTAGGTTCCCTTGCGCAGCAGCCGGAGCTCGCCCTGCCTGATGCCTCGCACCAGCTCCAGGAAGGTGGGCTCCCAGGCATACAGCTTCAGCACCTTGATGCCACCCAGGATCTCGTTCATCAGCTTGATCCGTGAGTCCTTGAACTTCATTTGCTGCACCTGTGCAGAGGAGAGAACGGCAGCGGCTCATTCACTCTGCTTCCCAGACCTCCTTCCCAGACCTGCTTCCCAGACCTCCTTCCCAGACCTCCTTCCCAGACCTCCTCCTTCCCATGGGGCTCACACCTTCTTACATCCTTATCCATCGCCACTGCCTTGCCTTCTGCCACCTCCTGCCCAGCCCCCCTCTCCTCCCAGCTCTTGCCACCATCACTGGTTCCCAGGCAGCTCTGCTCCCTGCCCTGCATTTCTAGAGCACATTGCTTCCCCCCCCCCCCCCGTAACCATGGGGACACATATGGGGACACGTATGTAAATGTGTGGATGGTTATGGGGAAAGGCCAGGAGCTTCCTAAGGATAAGGATTGCCTATTTCTATCTTTTAGGCCTTAACCCAAAGGATGCCAAGTTGAAACACCAAATTAACTTTTCCATTCAATCCCTGTTTATTGAATGCCTATTATGTACCTGACCTTGTGCTAGATTGGAGGATATCTGGTTGAACAATTCAGACAAGGTCCCGGCCATCATACAGCCGGGAGTCTGATGGCGGAGGCATACAGCAAGAATTACTGGAATAAATGCTTCACTATAGATCATCATGTGTGTGCTGGGGATATAGCTCAGTTGGGAGTGTGCTTGCCTAGCAGCCATAAGGCCCTGGGTTCAATCCCCAGCATCAACAAAACAAACAAACAAACAAAAAACCCATCATGTATGATCTGAAGGGAAATAAAAGGATGCAATGAGGGAAAACAGGGGTGGGGGTACTAACTTAGACAGTAATCAGGAGGAAGTGGCCTCTATCCTGAGAGCTAAAGGAGAGGGAAGGAATTCGAGAGGCGAGGAGGGGTACAGAGTGTTCCAGGAAGAGGGAAGAGCATGTGGTGGCCCGGAGGTGCACAGAGCTTGGGGCTTTGGAGAAGAGAGAGAAGACCCACCTGGGTGAAGCTTGCCCATACTACAGGGCTGAGGGCTTACAAGGTAGTGGGGAGGGTGCTGGGTAATCTTAGGTCTTATCATTTATTCTAGGTACAGTGGGAAGCTACCAAAGACATCAGTAAATCTTTCCAAAGGGATTAAATGGCTATCTACGCTTGGCACGACATACGGGGACAAGTTCTTATTAGAACAGCTCTGCCTGACTCTGGCCCACCCTTTTCTCTCCAGGTGAAACGAGAATATTCCCTAAACGTCTCAGGGTGGTACAGGTGGAGGGAGCTAGGGCAACTATCGTGCTTGATACTAGGGGAGTGAAGGAGGCCGGGCTTGTGAACACCTTCCCCCAGTACCTGCTCCAGGTAGGAACAGTATAAACACAACAGCACCCACCTGGTAGGACCTCATCTTCACGGCCACCATTCCATTGATTGGAATCAGCAAGACCATGAGAGCCACTCCAGCCAGGGCAGAGGGACCCAGGATCTGAGGAGGAACAGGTGGGTCCATGAGATCGACGGACAGAGAGCAAAAGTCTACAGACAGAATCCAACAGACAGAAACCTGCTGATCTGAAACACGATGGGCAGGAAGCAAAAAGACTTCAGTCAGTCAGACAGACAGACAGGCAGACAGACAGAATGAGCATGACATTGGCAGAAGCAGTCAGCCATCAGACAATGACGATAGACAGGCAAAGAGCAGAAGGCTGTCCATACACACAAGAAGGCTAATACGCACAGATAGACAGGCGATGGCTGCCAGAGCCACACCCCCAGCCTCGTCTTGTGGGGGAAAGGATCACAGCCCAGGCTGAAGAGGTCCAGCTACAGACATGAGCAGCCCCAAAGTCCCCCTAGCACCTAGGGAAGCTCTCGTGTGCATGACACAGCTGTACCACTGACACAGACTGACCCCTCCTGTCCCATCTGCAGCAAGGTCAGAGGAAGGGGGTAAAGGTCAGGGTTCAAGAATCACCTGCCAGAGGAAGTAGATGGTCAGGATGATATTCAGGGGCGTCGACCAGATCATGTTGATGTAGGGGGCCATATCCATGAAGCGCTGGGCGTCCACTGACATTAGGTTGACCATTTCTCCTACAGTGGACTGATGTTTGACTGAATTGGTGATGACCAGAGCCTGCAGGTGGACAGCAAGGAATGTACTAGGGCTGGGAGCTTCTCCCAAGCTGCTGGCCTCTCCCTGCACCCTGATCAGGCTCACCTTCCTGTAGATGACACCTATGATCGCCGTACGGACCCTCAAGGCGTACACGAAGATGCAGTGATAGTACTGATGTAAGATCAGTGTCTGCACCGTGGAGGTCACGAACATCAGCACAGCCAGCAGGAAGCCCCACCAGGCCGGGGCCGAGGGGTTTGAAATGAACTGGATCAGGATGCTGCCAGGGGAGGGGAGAGGCATGAGGGTGGGTCTGCTCCCATAGGCCTCCACGCCCCCTGCCTGAGAAACCTCTTGGATAGGGGCTGCCAGCTCTGGGACCAGGGGATGGTCATCCCCGCAGCGTGAAGACCATAACAGCCATCCTTGCTTCCTTTGGCCTTTGTCTCCTTCCCTGTCCCACACAGACCTGGCCATGCAGCCCTATGTCACTCTCTTATCACCAGCTCTCCAGGAGAACTGAGCCCCAGATGTGGGCCCTTGGGCTCCCCACCTGCCATGGCTCTGCTAATGTGAACTCCAGCTAGCTGGGAATCTCTCCTTGGATGGCCCACCAGCCACTCCGGCCCAGCGTGGCCAGGACTCAGTTCCCTCCCTTGTCCCAGTCCTGGCCTCCTCCTTCCTCTGAGGTCACTGTTCAGGGAAAGAGCCATCATCCTCTAGCTACCTAGGCAGGAACCCAGGCTGCCCTGGACTTCTCCCTTTCCTTGGCACACACACACCCATCTCTGGATCAGCTCCAGAATCATTCCTGGCCTGGACCCCCATGGGGCCTGGTTGGTCCCCTTCCACCTAGCCACCCTGCCCTACATCTCCCACACTGTTGGCAGCACCTCCCAGAGGCCCTTCCCTAGTTTCACATCTCCGAGGCGAGCCCTAGCTCTCTCTGGGCTTCCCTGCCACACCCTCCATTAACCTTTCCTCCAGGTCTAGAGTTCCTGAGTCATGCTTTGTGGCTTGGGCTTCTATTACACCCACTCCTTCCTCTAAATGTGATTAACCTTCTGAGCTAGCAAGTGTCCCCAGCTATCCCAGGCTGACCTCCTTGCTCCTCCCATTTTTTTTTCAGACACCTGGTATACCTCTGCCTGCTGTATTCTTATTGAGCTATGGTTGTTTTCTCCCATAAGATCTCAAGACCATATCTTATTATCTCTGCATTCCTAGTGTCCTCCACCATTCTAGCACCCTGGGGGCTCAATTGGTTTTTGCTGAATGAATGAGGCACACATGGAGGGGCAAAGGGCGGGGGGCTCAAGTGCGAGGAAGCTCTCCACCCTGCCTGGCATTTGAGAGCTCCTTCTAGTTCAAGCCTCTCATGTGACTAATGTAAGTAGTAGAAAGAATATCTTAGCTAGAATTCAGAGCCCAGGACTGAGGTCTGATTCATTTTACCAGCTGTGTGCCCTTGGCCAAGTTATTTCACCTCTGTGAGCGTCTTCTTTGGGTCAGGAGGATCACGAGTTCAAAGCCAGCCTCAGCAAAAGGGAGGTGCTAAGCAACTTAGAGAGACCCTTAAGATACAAAATAGGGCTGGGGATGTGGCTCAGTGGTCGAGTGCCCCTGAGTTCAATCCCTGGCACCCCCACCCCCCGTCACCACACACACACACACACACAAATACAGAGCAGGGTGTGATGGTGCACACCTATAATTCCAAGCAAGTCAGGAGGGAGGTTGAGGCAGGAGGATTGCAAGTTTGAGGTCAGCCTCAACAAGTTACTGAGACCCTGTCTCAAATTTAAACAACAACAACAACAAAAATAATTAAAGGGCTTGGGTTATGGCTCCATGATGAAGAACCTCTGGGTTCAATCTCCAGCACCAACAATAAAGAAACAAAGTAACTAGCACTTCCCTAAAGGATTCTTGGAGAGGCTTAAAGAGAGAAAGCTTATGAATGAATCCATCATGGTGGATGTAGAATAGACCCAGCAAATCTAAGTGGAGTGAGAGTGGAGAAATGAGCGTCAATGCAGCGTCACGTCACTTGCCAAAGTTCACACAGGAGATATGGACTCCTCAGTTCCTGGCTGGAGAGCTGAATTGCCCTATATAGTGTCCCTCCCCCTGGCCCAGCCCTTGGGCCCAGCCAGCCAGCCCTTCCCCCACAGAAGAGCCACAACAAGAGGGGTGTGGTGAGACCTGAGTAGCTGCGGGTTGACATAGGACAGCAGGTCCTCGATCAACTTGAAGCCCATGCTTATGAGGAAGCCAGACTTAAAAGTGGCCAGCAGGGCCCACAGGAAGGAGGGCTCCGAGGACCTAGGTCGGTGTCCCAGAAGTACCTCGTCCTCACCGGAGACTTTCTTCTCCAATGCTGCTGCAGCCTTGGGTCTGTCAGGGGAGGAAGGAGCAGTGGGTAGGAATGAGTCCCTAGGCCCCAAGGGAGTGAGGGAGAGGGAGTTCTCAGGACTGGGAGGGGGACAGATGGCAGAATTCCCCAGGGGACCGTCCCCAGGTGCTAGGGGGTTTCTGCAGGGGTGGCCAGACTGCTACTTGAGGATTATAAGCCCAGCTCTTCCCAATCTCTGGCCCTCTCCTTGCCTCCCCCAGGGAGGACACTGAGATGAAGGGGACTTAAAGGCAGGGATGGCTAGTGGGCCAGTCTGGTCAGCTAAACAGGGAGGGGTTAGAGGTGGCATGGAGGAACAGGGAGAGTGTGGGTCATAGTCCTTCTCAAAGGCTCCACGCCCTGGGAGCCAAGATCCTGCTAACCAAGCCCAAGTCCTTGGTTCCTCTGACAGCTAGTAGCCATCAGGGGTTCTGGGCTGAATGAGCACTGAACTCGCAGGCCCCAGGTGGCGGGTGAGAGGAAGAGGACTCTAAGCTCTCTTTGCAGGGCAGTTGGCCAGAGAAAGGTCTGTGGCCTTGATGGAAGGCTGCAAAGTCCCCTCAGCTGGAGCTTCATCTCTTCCAGGCTTTGCCTCCAGTCAAGAGGAGGCAGGACTGGATGGGGGGGGGGCTTCCCCTTCTGAAGGAAGTCCCTGAAATCTACCCTTTAATCAGGCAGGGTAGAGGGGTTGTAAGAGCAGGACCTCTGGGCCAGACAGCTGGGTGGGGGACCCCAGCTCTGCTACCATCCACTGGAGGGGCTTGGGCACAACATTAAACCTCTGTGCCTCAGTGTCCTCTTCTGTATCATGGGGACAACAGAATCTACATTGTAGTACTGCACCTGACCTGAGGCTGCGATCCCCTGGGCTGCTCTTCTCCCCACCCGGTGTGAGATTACTCCAAGTCTACCGGCATCCCGGCAGGGGACCTGGGGACCTGGGAGGAGGGTGGGGCATGGAAGCATGGGAGGGACATAGGAACACAGAGGGCACAAGGACAAGGGGTCTCACCCCGCTGCTCGCTTTTGCTGCTTCTTCCATTCCTGGAGTAGCTGCTGCACCACCATGTGGGAGCAGTCCTCCTCATTCAGGGACCAGAGATCCTGAGCCACCAGGGGACGCCGGTAGCCGAGGATGATCAGCCTGGGCAGGAGGTGGGGGCACATAGGCAGCCTCACACAGGGTCAGGACTTAGCTGCCAGGAGCTGGGAGCAATTGTCTCCAGGGCCCCAGGATCTCCAGAACAGGGGGGCTTCCTCCAGTGCTTTGACCAGGGGAGGCGTCTCTTTTATTCCCACAGTGAGGTTGTGGGTCGCTGCCTCCTCCCTCCCCAGTTCCCGTCTTTGCCCCTCTCCTTCCCCTCCCCAGGTGCCCCATCTGTCACCTTACCCCCCCCACCCCTCCTCCGGCCCTGGTGATGAAACCCACACAGGCTGCAGCTGGATGACAACAAGGTGTGGGGTAGACTCAGTCCAGCCTCAGGTGCTTCCTCGGTGCCGTGTGGCTGATGAATTGTCACCCAGGTCACAGACACAATTGTCCCACTCAAGCTGCTCAGAGGGGCAGCCAAGGAGATGACAGGCTGCAAGCTTATCCCAGATGGAACAGCTCAGAACTAATTACAATCTCCTTTCAGCCCCCTGGGCTCATCATCCCTGCGGCCTGCCAGATGCAGGGCTGGCCTGGAGCCTGGGAGCCAAGCTGGGACTGACCTGGCCTCCCCACTCAGCACCCAGCCCAAACAGACCTGCAGCCTGTTCTCATCTGCGATATGCCCACTGGGGTGCGGGTATGGGGGAGGGGGCCAGCCCAACTGCGCAGGTCCCTGGACTTCTCTGGTCTGCTTCCTTTTCCCACTCTCACCTCCCCTCACTCCCCTCCCTCTGGCCCAGGCTGGAGAAAGAGCCAACTCACTTTGTGAACCACTCGAAAGACAGGCGGGAGAGGAAGCCAGCACGGGCCTCGGGGCAGGGGTTCTAGAAGGTGGGAGAATAGGATAGGGGGAGTCAGGAGTGCCCGTCAGCCTTTAAAAGCACAGTAGAGGCAGGGATGGCCCTTGCTCCCTCCCACTCCCAGCCCCGTTGTGGAGATGGTATCTCCCCCTTGGGAAGGGGTAGGAAGGGCTGGGGGCTGCTGTAAGCGCAGGGCCCTGCAGGGCTCCCACACTCTCCCTGGTAAACTCACAGAGTTGTCATTCTTTGGGGAGAAAAATGGTGGCTTCTCATTGAAGCAGGACACAATGAAGGCTGAGAGCACCAGGGCAAAGTAGATGTAGAAGGTGGTGAAGCGGAAAGGGTCTGAGATCTTGCCCTGGAGGGGAGAGTGGGGCAGGGGTCAGCAGCTCCAGAGAGGCCCAGTGCCCTGAGTTCCTCTGGGTAGGAGGAAGCCCGAGGTCGGGGATGGGTGCTCCAGGTCCCCACTCAGGATTCCAAGAGGTATAAAAGGATGACAGGGACTGTGGCCTGGTGAGGACCTGCCCTGGTCCAGGCATCCTGCTTGTCTAACTAGGATGACAACCCACAATCAGGAGCGCTTATGGCAGTGCTGGGGATTGAACCCAGGGGTGGGCTACCACTGAGCCACACCCCCAGCCCTTTTTTTATTCTGAGAAAGAGTCTTGTTCAGTTGCCCAGGCCGGCCTCAAACTTGTGATTCTCTTCAGCCTCCCAAGTGGCTGGGATTACAGGCATGTGCCACCAGGCCCAGCTCAGGAAAATTCGGATGCCCGTTCTACCATGAGGCCACAAACAGTTCAGCAACTTACCCAAGATCACACTGGGGGTCAGCGGACCGTTCAGAGCCTGTGCTCCTAGCTACTCTACTTGTCTGCCTCCCTCTGAGAGGAAGAAATGAGGGGCACTAGACTGACCCCAATGTTCCATCCCCCACCCCCCACTACCATAGATCAACAGAGAGGCCAGGAACTGAATTAGGGCGAGGAAGGAGAACAAATGATTGGGACTTCTGGATAGGCTGGAACTCCTCATGTACATGTGTTCATGACCCAGACGATGACTGATACCCACGCTGAACATTGCACTTGGCAATGGGGGCTATGGAATGGCCCCCTGAGCTCCCAAGAGCATCCATCAGTGGCACATCTTTGACCCATTTCCCTGCATTATACCATCTTCCCGTCTCCTGCCTGCTTCCAGGCAGAGATGCAGCAAGCAGAGGGCGACATGGAAAGTGTTGAAAGGAGGAGGTCATGGGAGAGGGGAGGGGTAGCAGAGGGGGGCCTGGAACTCAGCAGTGACCTTGAACCCTGAGCCCCCCCACCCAGGGCTAGACCTGGCAGGATTGCCCCCTTGGTGCCCCTTACCTCTGCTATGGCTGAAAGGATCTTGGAGCGGAAGGGAATGATGGCACAGACTACACACAGGAACCAGAAGACGATGAGGACCCCCGAGGACTGCACCCCCCGCAGCCGCTCGTACTGGATCAGCAGGGTAGCCAGCAACTGTGCAGGGAGGGTGGGGAAGGCTCGGCCAGAGCACACACATCTGGACCATTCCTCCCCACTCCACGTGGCCTGATGTTTCTGGAGTCATCCCTACGTTTTCCTGAGTCTCTGGTGTCCAACCCTCTCCTCAGGGCCCACGGGTCCCCCATCAAAATCCACAACCCACTGGAGACCTCCCCACTCCCCTCCTGGGTCCCACACTGACCATGGTGATCCCCACCACCAGGGGGCTAATGAAGAAGACAGGTGCAGGGGTCAAGCCGTGGACCAGGCCATGGAAAGAGTAGAAGAGGTCCGCCCAGGAGATGCACCACAGCAGGATGGCCAGGGCCTGTGAACAGGGCAGAAGACTCCTTAGAGACAGGAACTGTCCCTGCTGGGAAGGGGTCTTGTTTCTGAAGCCTTTAGGAGCCTGGGCCTGGCCCTGGCCCTGGCCCTGAGGGCTAGGAGGGGCCCTGGCCCAGAAGCTTCTTGGGGGTGGGATGGGAAGCTCTGTTGTTGGTGAACTTGCTAGAACTTCCCCAAGCAAGGAATGTCCCAGTTGGCTGCAGGAAGGGCAGGTGAGGCTGGGAACCTGCTCCAGCCGTGGAGGGGGTGGGGTTATTAGAAGCAGACTCCCCTCAGGTCCCAGCCCCACCAGGAGGACAACCCTGAGCCCCTGACCGTCTTGAGCCTGGACAGGTGCGAGAGGACGATGTAGCCATGTCGGTGGTACTTCAGGTAGAGCAGGTAGCAGGGTAGGGCAGCCCACAGGTAGATGCAGGGTACCCAGGCCAGCAGGGAGTTCTGGAAACAGGATGTGAGGTCTGGATTGTCTGTGTACACTGACAGGTTGGTGTCCTGGAGACAGAGAGAACAATTCAGTGCTGTGGCAGCCTCCTGAGGAACTGGGTCTCCTTCAGGGAGGTGGCTGGACCAGGAGACACTCCATCCATCTAGGGTGGGGATGGACCAGAGGATAGGTGAGGATAAGAGTCTGAGCAAGCATCTGAGCAGGTGCTGCCCAGAGGTTGAGCCTTCCAGGGAGGATGTGGTTGCCCCCATTTCCTCATTTCCCTCTCTAATTAAGGTAAAATTTAAGTGCAATAAACTATACCCATTTAAAGTGTACGACTTGAATGTGCCCTTCCTGCAGGGGCACACACCTGTATAATTCCAGTGAATTGGGAGGCTAAGGCAGGAGGATCTCAAATTCAAGGCCAGCCTCAGCAACTTAGTGAGGCCCTGTCTCAAAAAATAAAAGGGGGCCGGGATCGGTGGTGCATGCCTGTAATCTCAGTGGCTCTGGAGGTGGAGACAGGAGGATCGTGAGTTCAAAGACAGCCTTAGCAAAGGTGAAGTGCTAAGCAACTCAGTGAGACCCTGTCTCTAAAAAAAAAAAAATACAAAATAGGGCTGAGGATGTGGCTCAGTGGTCAAGTACCCCTGAGTTCAATCCCTGGTACCCCTAAAATAAATAAATAAATAAATAAATAAATAAAAATAAAAGGACTGGGGATATAGCTTAGTGGAAGAGTGTGCCCCTGGGTTCAATCCCCATATCCATCAATCAATCAACAATAAATGACTTCGATGAATTTGACATTTGCATATGCCTGCAAAACACCGCCACAGTGTTTTGCATCATCTACAAGTTTGCTTGTGCCCCTTTGCTGTTCACCCCTCCCAGGCTGATCTGCTGTCTGTCATTCTAGATACCGACTCTTTTTTCTTTTTTTGCGTGGTGCTGAGGATTGAGTACATGTTAGGCAAGCAGGTTTCTCCTGAGCCACATCCCCAGCCCAATTTTAAATTTTATCAAAGTAACATTTCCATAGTTTCAAAGCCCCCTTCCTCTTCAGGTGGCCACAGGTAAGGGCTTTTCTTAGTTGCCTTTACAATGGGGGTGCCCCTCTCCCCCAGCCCTAACTGTCTTACATGTTGGCATGAGATTCATAGGAAGAAGAGGAGGTGGGGAGATCTTTGCAAGTTACAAAGCTAGGGTGACCCACCATCCCTGGCTGGGCTGGGCTGTCCTGAATGTCCACATCGTGGGAAACTGCTCCATCTTGGACAGAGAAGTATGATAGGTCCCCTCCCGGTCACCCTCCTGGCACCTCTCTTGGATCATAGCTACACCTAGACCCTATCTCAAAATAAAAAATAAAAAGACTGGGGATGTAGCTCAATGGTAAAGTGCCCCTGGCTTCGACCCCCAGTATCAAAACCTAAAACAAAACGTCGAAATAACTACACTTAAGAATATTTTTGGAAAATGTTGGGGAAATAAATTCACTAATAGACACCTGCTTCATTGCGATTGTTTCCTCCAAGGCTGCTGATGTACTGATCTTCCCACCTCCACCTTCTTACAAAGCATTACATGTTCTTTACAGAAAACTCAGAAAATATGAACAAATAATAAGAAAAACCACCTATAATCCCATCCACCTGGAACCATCCGTTGCCTGAGGATATGATCACTTATCTTCTGTGCTGATTAAATGACTCTCATTTTAATTTTTACCCAAGTTCTACCTGCATGTAAATCTCTTTTTCTCTTTTTTCTGTTTCTCTGATGGTTTGGTTTCTGTCATTCAAATTGGAGGTTCCCCAATTTGCGGTGGTTCTTCACGCTTGACTGTCTCACTACTTCTGAATGAGTCACCAAAGAGCAGACACAAACCTTGCAGGCTGTGTGGGGCTTAGTTTGCACAGTGATCAAGGAGAAACCTGATCATTTAGAGAAGAGTCCCTCCCCAACTGGCAGAATCTGAAGGTCTTTTTTTCTGGGGCCAATTTGAGTATAAGGCTGGAGGCTCCATCCTGCAGTGTGTACATCTGCACTGAACACCTCCAGGTCTTCTAGGAGGTGGCTGGGGCTGGTCTGGCCTGGGGTGGGGAAGCAGCGTGGATGTCCAACTTATCCTTACACATTCTCCCCACCAGCCCCTGCTTTCCACCCTACTCCCCACCTGCTCCCGTTTCTGCAGCCCTCTAAATCCTGAGCTTTTCCTGACCTGTATGGATATTGGTTTCCACTGTCTCCCTTTCCCAAGGTGTTGTTCTCTCGACTTACAGGATTGAATCTTGTATTGCTTACTGTTATTCAAGTGGAAAATCAGGAAGGCCTGGGGATAAAGTCCCATGTTCAGTCCACCCTCTAGAACCAGAAGTCCCTTCAACTGCAAATCAAATAGGCCCCCCTCAGCCTTCGAGCAGGATTCCCCCTGCAACAGGGTGGGCAAGCATTTCTTGCCCTGTCTCTTCTTCCTCCCAGCGGGCCCTGTGCACACCAGCCCCAGTCCCCAGGTTCCTCCCTCGGCCTGGGCTCTCTCCCATCACCGCTCACAGATTGCACCGAGTCCCATATCCACAGCAACAGTCCGGATGCCCTCCTGAGTCTTGGCCCCTCTCAGATGGCTTCCCATCTGTCCCCAGTCCCTGGTGTTCAACACCTCTCACAGCTCAGCTCATTCACTCCCGCCAGGACCGGCCCCTCCCCTGGCCTTGCCTGACTCTGCCAAGGGCACCATCATTCTCCCAGCCATCCAGACGCCCATGGGACACTAGGCCCTGTGGATTCTTGGTGAAAGAATAACAGCTGGATGGGCAGGTGTTTGAGTCCTGGCTTCTTCTCCTCTTTTGAGAGCTATGACCTTGGGTGCTGTGGCGCAGGATGGTAGGTAATCCCAGCAATGCCCGAGGAGGAGGAAGATGCAGGAGGATGAGGAGTTGGAGGCACACCTGGGCAACTTAGCAAGAGATTCTGTCTCAAAATAATAAAAAAAGGGGGCTGGGGGTGTAGCTCAGTGTACAGTGACCCCTGGGGTCAATCCATAATACCAAAAAAAAAAAAAAAAAAAAAAGTAAGCTGTGGACAAGGTGCTTAAACTCTCCCCTCTCTGCGCCTTGGTTTCTTTATGGATAACCTGGGTAAAATTATACCTCCCACCTGGCCCCTCACCAAAATACCAGCCCTGGCGCTCATCTCTTCATGAGCAATTACCATGGGGTCTCTTCCCTTCCAACTACCTGAGGACCTGACCCTGGTCTTCTCCTTCATCCCTGGTCCTGGTCCTGTGTCACTGGCTCCCCTCTTAGTGTGAGAGTGCCCTGGGGTTTAGTCCTTTTCCCTTCTCCTCCTCCTCTATCTGCACACATCCCCTCGGTGCTCTCTCTCATCTGTTCTGGATGATCTGAACTTGAAGGGTTCAGCACCTCTCATACCTCTTTTTTTCTTGCAGTACTGAGGATTGAACACAGGGGGCGCTTTACTGCTGAGCTACTTCTTCCAGGCTCGTCCCAATGTACCATTGATATTCTAGTGACTTCCACGTGTATCTCTCCAGTTTACTACTCCTCAAATCCACTGGTCAGCTGGACACCTCCACTCTACACATCTTATAATAGCCTACAGGGACCTGCATAGTGTCCTTTCCTCCTGACCCATGGCTTCTCCCATTGCCTCTACTGCTTCATTCTAGCCATTGACCTTGTTATTCCTGAGCACACACAAGGCGGGTTCCTGCCTCAGGGTCTTTACATAGTAGGGTCTCTTTCTCTGGAACACTCTTCCCATACATGCTTCATTATTTCTTCTTCAACAAGGCCTCTCTGACCACCCTGTTTAATGCTGCCACCAGTAGCCCATGCAAGTTTTCCCAATGCTTGGCCTTCTCTGTTCTTTCTTTCTCTATAGCACCTACCACCTAACATGCTATATAATTTACTCATTTATTATATTTTCTTTCATCTCCTCCTACAACATGTAATATCCTTGAAGGAAAGAACCCTATTTCATTTATTGATGTATCCTAATTACTTAGGCACCCTAAAAGGGTGCCTCGCACATAGTAGGTGCTCAGAAAAGGTTGCTTAAATAAGTTAAGTTAAATATTTATTGAAGAAATGAATTAATTAACAAAAGGATGATACTGTACCTTCCCTCTAAACCTTCTGCGGCTTCCTACTGTCTAGAAGACAAAGTCTATGCATCTTCCCACAGTGTTTACAGCCCCCAGCTGGCTTCAAATGGTCTATGTGGACTTTCTTTTTTCCTTGCAGTACTGGAGATTGAACACAGGGGGCGCTTTACCGCTGAGCTACATCCCCACAGCTCTTTATTTTGAAACAGTCTTGCTAAATTACCCAGACTGGCCAGGAACTTGCAATCCTCCTGTTTCAGCCTCACAACTCACTAAGATTACAGGCATGTGCCACTGTGCCTGGCCAAACCTACCCCCTCTTGTTTTTAAATTTCGAGATAGGGTCTCACTAAGTGGTCGAGAATGGCCTCAACCTTCCATCTTCTATCTGCCTCAGCCTGCCGGGTAGCTGGATCACAGGCATATGCCACTGCACCAGGCTATGAACTGCTGAACTCTGTGGGCTGAGTTCTCCATCTTAACAAAATATCCCGGGAAAGGGAACTGGCCTGCATAGGCTGCTTCCCTTTCTGCAGACTGCCTTCCTTTCTTAATCCCATCCGGGTAGCCCTCTACCCCCACTGCCCCGGCCACTGCTGCAGAATGACCCTTTCTGAAGCACGGCTTTGTGCCCCTTGCCACGTGCCCGCAAACCTGCAGTGGCTCAGGCTGCTCGTGGAGCCAAGTCCCAGCATCCACCCTGAGGCCCCTTAGGCTTCTCCTCCCTCCTTCCTTCCCACTAATCCCTTCCCTGCAGCCAACCCCAGCCCCTGTGTGTGCATCTTATATCCCAGAGGTCTATCAGGTACTTGGTATTTCCTCAAACTCTGAGAACCAAGCACACACGCATTCTTGCTGAGCCTTCAATGGTGGTCAGAGAGCTGGGTCTACCACGAGACCTGGTCAAGACCTCTAGGAGGAAGGAAAAACAGA